ATTTATAACACAAATTCACCCAAAGACAGATACATTTCCCCTTTCGAGAATTTCATCGATTCAGACTGGCATCGGTCGTCTTGTTAAAATAAATGGCATTGAAAATAAGATCTTAATATGATCCCATTTGGTATGCAAGTTACATTTGTTTTATAACATGAAGTAATATTTCCTTTTGTCATATTTTCTACCAAACTGAACCTATTTATAGAAATATAAATCAGACGTCTAGACTTAGTAAATTTGTATAGAATATATTGTAATGCATGCATTTTTAAAGTTTGTAGATTTGTATCTATAACTCTGTGTTATTTGAAGGCTTTTTATTTTATATTGGATCTTAGAAAAAAAATGTCTATTTGGTTTCATGTAAAGAAGAGAAGCAATATTGTAAAAAAAAATATTTTTATAACTTTTACAACTTCAGACTAGGGATAACTGTAAATCATTTAATTAAATCATCAAATATATTTATTTGAATGCATATTTGCATAAATAAAGATGCTTTTGTCTTAAAGTAATTTTAAAGTAAAAGTTAAACATATTTCGGAGAAAAAAATACGTGTCTAAAAGTCGACAGTTTGTAAACATAGAAGAAAAATCAAACCATCAAATCAGTTGTGATGAATCGCAGATCCTAGCCAGTGAAAACAAATATATGTGTTAATTCGCGAAACTAGAGAAATATTAAAGCATTCCACTTTAAAAAGATTTAGTGGCTAACAGCTATAAACCTGGCATCGTCTAAGCGAAGGTATAAATGCACTGAATACACGAAACTCAATAAAAAAATACGAGAAAGAGAGTTTTTTAATGGAGAATAGAGTTATTTTAAAATACAAACAACTTGTCTGTGTAAAAATTACAATTACAATACATGTCAAATTCGTTTAAAGAGTAATTAATTAATTAATACAGCACTAATCGAAAGCTTTACGTTTAAAAGAAAATAATACTAATTTTAAATTCATACATAAATATTTAAGCTTAGTTAAATACTCATATATGCACTGAATTACATTTTTAATGAAATTACTCTTTTCAATACAAACATGATTTTCCAAATACAATAAAATTTAAGAGGTTTTTTTTAATAAGTGTATCATGTGGTTACTTCAAAAATTTTAATAAAAATACAATTTAGTTGTGAAACATCTGATACTGTGGACCGTGGACTATCTATGATATACAGCGGGGAACAACTTTCTTGTATAAAATAAACATTATACATCCGCTTTATTGTATATTTTAATTTGATGCAAATTGAATTTGTATAATTGTATTTCTTATGGTACATATATTTTTTTAACTATGTCTCTCAAGACTAAATACATTCGATACAAATGAGATATATATTATATATAGATTTAGTGAAATCGGAATAGATTTATTTTAAACATAATAAAACTATTCTCATACAAAATTGTAGTATTCATGTAATTTCGTGTTCTTACAAATATTGTGAATCGTTCGTCAACGATCTAGGGTTCAAATATGCTTAAAATATTTCTCCATTAGGTATATTCATATGAAATATTATATCAAATCAAACATTACATTTTGTATGCTCAAAGATCCATATATACCAACTAGCTTTCCGCCCGCAGCTTCGTCCGCGTGGAGTTCGGTTATATCGCGTTTCCAAGAGAACCTTTCAAAAGTCTGGGATAAAAACTATCCAATGTTCTTTCTCAAGGTCAACTCTTATCTCTGTACCAAATTCCATTAAAATCAGTTCCGTGTTTTAGGCGTGAAAGCGTAACAGACAGACAGACAGAGTTACTTTCGCATTTATAATATTAGTAGAGATATTAAAAGATATCACTTGAAATGTTAAGTTTTAAATATATCTTATTAAGTGTTCGTGATCTATCTATAACGTATGTAGCCATAGTATAAATCATTCAACTCCATAATGTATCCGTCACTCTTAGACCGGACCTGTATCCTGTTTCTTCACGTGAAACAGCTGATGAATTATTCATGACTATCATATACCCTGACTCCGGCTGCAAGGGACATCCACGTACAACGTGACGTACACCAACACTTCTTTTGATTTATGTTTTCCCTTAAAAACAATGTATTGTTTTTAAATATGAATTATAATATATGAAGATGCCATGCCATTTTAAAGGAATCAAAGTTGAGAACGAATGTTGAATTTAATACAGTTTCTAAGAACGGCGGGTGTATATAAGATATTTGGTTTATGTAAAATTCATTAAATATATGTATAGTCTCTTTATAATTCTTAAGAAAATATTTGTGTGTATTGTAACAATTTCTATTCAACTATGAAACTTTGAATAATCTATTAATGATATTTACATAATTGTCTTTACGTAATAATATAATCAAAATCTTTATAAATAATATTATAAAAAAATTCATCAAGTACAGTTATTTAGTAAAGGGCTCTTTATCAAGCAAACGATGTCAATAATTGTCATTAGTACCCAAATTTATGTATATAAAACGGGTAAATGTAATTTATACCTCACAATCAGTTCGAGCGGCATCCGATAAAAGAATTCAAAATTCGTCTCCGTTGTTTAATTTTTAATAACTCTAATAAATATTAATTCGGTACAATGTCCTCATAAAATGAAGATATCTACCTCAAACCAAACTTAAATACTGATTTTGATATTCATAATTATATTTAAATATCTTGTACAGTAGTTCTATATGTATTGTATAGTAATCTATTTAATTTATTTAGTTTACAATCTCTATCTGAAAATGTTTTCTATGTAAATTATTTGCTTTGTAAATAACAGACAAGCTAGAATTATAATTATGAAAATCTCAATTTGTACTATCATCGTACTCCTTATCTGAAATAGTCATTAAGACTATTTTAAATAAAATGAAAAAAATAATTCTATTATTAATGAATATTGAATATAACACTAAATATTGCTAACACTTGTCATCTCGATTCTCAATTACAATTAGTATGAAACGCTTTCAAACGATCAAATCCTTATAGACTACATACCTATAAATTAACCAATATAAAAAAAACACAAAGAAGTCATCAATGAGAGTATATTTAATATATATTAAGATGATAATTTCATTTCCATATTTCACACCAAGTTGTTTTCTCTACGTACATCTGTCAAGTATAGTGATAGGTTGTGCAGGCAGCGGGCAGAAGGCGCCTCTCTTTGTTATTTTTGATGGACGTTTGAATCGACTCCAACAGTAACACATCATATATTAACGGTTCATATTTTATGAATAATTATTGTCCTGTTATTTTTGTATCGAGTATTTCTTTGTGTTGTAACAATCGCGTGTCTCGTTTAAGGCTCGCTTACATTATTATTTATTTATTACGGGAAATCTATAGCATATTAAATTATATAGCATTTAGGGCAATAAAATAACATTAGGTTAATGCCAACAAAGTAATCAGGTTTAAATTATTCAATAAATCAAAAACTACCTTTGAAAGAATACAAAACGAATAAAAAAGTACAGCTAACTTCTTATTAAGTTTATTGTTATGTATGAGCTATCAAAGTAAATATCACCCTTTCTTTATTTTCATGTAGAACTGTTTCATTCATTTCCATTTCCACTTCATGTACGGGAAATGCACTTTACAGAAGGACGTTCATCGATTCTAGTTTAGTGACGTTTTAATCGTACGACACAAAGTAACACATAAAATTGTTGAAGATTATTCTTTTGTGAGAGACTCTTGTTTAAAGGCGACTTTTATATAATATCGTTTGATCCATATACTCTAAGTCTGTTCAAACATTTCAAACTCACAAGGGCTGAACAATGCATGTTTAAGTTTCGAGCGACTGACCCAAATGTTATCCAATCGATTTTCCGTACTGAATTATAGAAAAGAAGATCCGTTTAAGGTTAAGAGTTAAAACTATTATTTTGCTTCGTATTTGTATTATGTAAACAATGTCTTTACTTTATTTAGCCATGAATAATCCGCAGCGTTGACTGTGCTGCATTAGCATTTCTATTACGTCATAAACACCCCCATGCTGATATTTAGGTCATGTAGCTCATGTTCTAGGTCTCACCCACTTTAAAACCTACGTGTGAACTTACATACTTTGAATGTCAAGTTTTTTAAATATCTAATATTATGCCGCCAAGACGTTTGATGCATGTCGCAGTTTTGCAACGAACAGTCTAATTTATTATACAAACTTTTCAACCTGACTGAATAAAATCTATGACGTTTGAAAATGCGACGTCGAATAGAATAAAATATTAGATGTAGACAAAATTATTTGTTATGAAACGTATACTATAGACACTACTATAAAATTGCAAGTAAACAGAATAATTTATACTACAAAATTAAAAAGAATTAATTATGCTTAAAAATATCATGCAATACTTTTCGGTATCCTAGTTAGTTATATTATATTTTAAGTTTTCTGTTTTTTGAAAGTTCTTTTTAAATAAAATTCGCAGGATTTTTATATTAAAACATACGTTTTTAATGTGATGCAATAATGTTATTATGTTGACAAAGACATCAAATCACTTTCACTTTTTTATCTAGGTGATTTAATTAAATAAAATTCTACTGTATAACATATACTATCATATAAAACTTGGACCTATTCTACTGATCAAGTCCGTAGAAATTCATGTTACTCCTAAGCCTTATTCACTTTATAATTAGTATGAATTAATGTTAAAAATATATTTTGTAAATAATTATAACAATTCATTAAGCCTCTTCGATTGAGTAATTTACAAGGTCTTGTTGCAACTCCCCATTTCAGTAAGGTCATGAAACTTTGTAAAAAATCAGACACAATATATTATATACGTTGCATAGCACATAATCGAACTCATCGTGATAACGAATTTATGATATTTATTTTTAAAAACCTAATTGAAATTATTGACTACTTAAATCTTCCATATCTCTTTAATTTTTTATATAATGTTTTTCAATCTTTGTTGTTTTTCACGTAGTTATATATATTGTTTTTTGTTTTCAGTACTGCTTAGCGAGGCCATTCTATCTGACGACACTCTGGAGGAGAAGACTCTCAAGATAACAGATTTCGGCTTGGCCCGGGAGGTTTACAAGACTACTCGCATGTCAGCGGCTGGGACGTACGCCTGGATGCCGCCTGAGGTAATATATACATACATATAGAAATGGTCCTTTTCTTTATATATATAATTCTTCTGTGAGTGTGTATGTCACTGAACTTCTCTCAAACGACTGGACCGATTTTTGTGTGTGTTCAAGGGGATCTGGGAATTATTTAGATTCACAATTTTGTCCGCTGGACGATGTTTTTTAATTAATTTTTTAGTAGTTGTTGATACAAACTTTTTTTTTTTTACATTAGATTTGACAACTGACTAATATGTCAATCATTCTGTCGCGCTTCAAAACACGGAGATTTATGGCTTTAATAGGTACACTCCAAAAATATAAATAAAAAAACGTAACAGATATTTCTTGATTATAGGGCGATACGAAGTTCGCCGGGTCTTCTAGTTGTTATATATGTATATACATAAGTTGTTTTAGTTACACTGTTTTTATAACTAAATAGCGGCTGTAGGGATTTGGCTGGGAATTTGGGGGAGGTAAATTGGAATAAGGAGACGAACAGGATGCAAAATTTGATAGACAGATAAAAACATAACATCATTATGTTAATAACATCCAAAACCTCTTTATTTACTGTCTCTAAATCGAAACAGTTTGCTTGGTCAGCTATACATTTCTAATTATGAAACTAAAGCGGACAAAGTTGCGGGCGAAAGCTAGAGGTTTATATATATAAAATAATTGTGTGAAATTTCTCTTTTGATAAATAAAAATTTTATCTGCAAATAAGATTAAGTCTGCTGCAAGTGAATGCTTACAGTATATTTTTGATCCTGAAATTCCACCATGAGACAAAAGTATGATTATTATATTATAAAAATATATCCTTTTCCTCTCTTAAATACTCAAAACTTGGTTAAATTATTTTAGTCTGTAAGAGTATACGAAACACGCTCACCACAATTTGTCGTTACAAGCACCCTTCTAAAATAAGAACTTTTGTAATATGAAGGAAAAGTATCTACAATAGATATTTTTATGAAAAGTTTAAGGCAAACTTAATATTTAATTTAAAATACTATACATAACTTGTAAAATATGAAAAATGGACTTCAGATTATAGTTTTTTACAGTTCTTGTCATTTTAAGTCCTACTATATTATGAATGAGAATGTATATGTATGTATATTTCTCTATGACTCAAAGCTAGGACGTTATAACGAAGTCGCGGGCAAAAACTTGTGATATCATAAAACTGTCACAAAACAGAATATAATTACCTATTAGTAATAGCGTAATAAGATCTTGAGCTGTCTCCGGTAAGTTAAAATACAACCATGATAATGAAATATATCGCGAGTAATCTTGTTTAATACATTGTAGTGTATTGTTAACTTTATTGAGGCAAATTGTTGAATAAGCTATGTTCTGATTTTATTAAAAGTAACATGTACGAGCAGTTATGATAGCCAATCAATATATATCTTATATGTGATGCAATCCCTACTTATAAATGCGAAAGTAACTCTTTCTGTCTGTTTGTTATGCTTTCACGCCTAAACTACTGAACTGATTTTAATTAAATTTATCTCTGTGATAGAGTTGACTATAAGAAAGAACATAGGATAGTTTTTATCCCAGACTTTTGAAAGGTTCTCTTGGAAACGCAATATAATCGAACTCCACGCTGGCGAAGCTGCGGGCGGAAAGCTAGTAAAAGATAAAATATTTTGTTAAAACAAAATCATAATTACTAAAGAGTCACTTTAAAGTATTAGGTGTAGAACCACAGAAGTTACGTGTCAAAAAACAAGAATTTCTATAAAATTATCACTCTTAATAAACAAATGATATTTATATATATATTCCATTAAATATTTTCTGTTTGAAGTGTGCTTATGTACTTATGGTACCAATTCCAATAAAAAAAATCAATAACATATGAAATTACTATTTGCAGGTGATAAAAAATTCCACATTCTCCCATGCATCGGACGTGTGGTCCTATGGTGTTCTTCTATGGGAGCTTCTGACTGGAGAAACTCCATACAAAGGAATCGACGCTCTGGCTGTAGCTTATGGTGTAGCTGTGAACAAATTAACATTACCCATACCTAGCACCTGCCCCGAACCATGGAGAGTGCTCATGGAAGGTAAAAACTATGAATATTTAATAGAAAAAATCTTGAATTGCATTTAAATCAGTCAATTCTGTTCAAACCCTTGAGGCAAGCGGTTTGCATTATTGCGGCCCGTAGAATCTTTGTATAAATACACTAATGAGCAACCACACGTAATAATAATGATATTAAATATTTTTAAAATATTTTACGCCCCACCAATGTATTTAATTATTTTCTTAGACCCTGGGTCCAATCAAGTTTAGACACCACTGATATAAATCAATGAATTGACATAAAACTTTAAGTAGCGAAAGTGATACAAAAAAGGAATACTCAAACAAACATTCCTTTTAATATTAATCAATTAATAATTTTTAATTTATTCTAGTTATTAATATCCATTTTGTAAATTGTGTTTTGATATGATAGTCATCCCAGAATAATTATTTAATGCTGTCTTCATTCTCAGTCATCATAATAAATTCTCACAGCTTAACTGTAAAATCTTATTAGTAAATTATGTCAAAACTTTAAATCATACAAAATACTATCCAGAAATCGAATAAACTAATATAAGCAGTGTTAAAAATAATATGGAAATTGTATTCCAGCGTGTTGGCGCTCAAATCCCAGAGAGCGTCCCTTATTTCCCGAAATCCTTGATCAATTGGAACACATCAGACAATCGGAGTTCACGAGGGCGCCCCACGAATCCTTCCATACAATGCAGGATGGATGGAGGTTGGAAATTGAAGAGGTCTTGAGAGATCTACGAAGAAAGGAAAAGGTTAGTACCAAAATCACAGCAAAAACAATAGAAATATCGACAATCAGGGAATATTAGGTTATTAACTTTGTAGGAGGAAGTAGAATTGGCCAAAAATATTCAAAAACAAAAAATAATATGAAATAAATTGATCTACACTAATTTGATTGTATACCAAAAGGAATGATCATAAATCAAAAATAAAAGATTAATCAAGTTTAAATCGACTCGTCTATTTCACTGACAATGCTTTAGAATTTATAATAGACTAGTTTTTGCCCGCGACTTCGTCCGCGTTAGTTTGGTCAAGAGTAATATATGTAGGTATAGCTGACCAGGCGAACTCTATTCCGTCTTAGAGGCCATAAATAATCAGGTTTTTCCTGTATCAATCAAACTGAATGATTGACATATTAGTTAGTTGTCAAATCTAATGTCAATAAAACAACGTTTGTATGGGAAATAGAAATGGGAGAGTTTTAGGGTTTTCCCGGCAATTATTCAAATTTTTCTCACCTTTTATACCTTTCCTGGACTTCCAGGAGTATTTCAAGACTAAAATTAGCCAAATCAGTTCAGCGGTTCTCGAGTTTTAGCGAGACTAAGGAACAGCAATCCATTTTTATATATATAGAAGATTAGACTGAAGGCATGTGGTTTTGAAATATGAGTAGTTTTGACGATTCGTTTTTGTAATAAAAATGATTTTGTTTTCTTTGTAATAAATGTCATGGAGTACATTACCAGTACGCAGTTGACATAATGTTATGATACATTGATATTATTAATATGGGTGTTGTTTTCCATACGCTTGCAGGAATGCAAAACTATAGAGGAGGTTAGTGTTTATGTAAACCTTGGGTTATTTTGCGTTTGCTCTGTATGCTTCGTTATGGTTGACAACTTTTATTTTATATTTTGCCGTTTTATAGCTTCGTTAAACATCCAGAATCCTTTCGAATAGTTTTTTATTTTTAAAATTTCTCACAAATTTACTTTAAAAATTTTCTAGCTTAGTTTTCAATTTTAGGTTTCTATTGATTTACTTCATTAATGAAATTCAAAATCTGTTCTGCTGTGTCGTGTTGCCTCAATATAATCCTTTGTAATACAGTGAAATGTACTTACTATACATTTTATAATTACAATTTTTTTGGCCCTTATTTGTATGGTATGGGCCATATTGGGGATTTATTTGACATAACACGACCGACATTTTTCTAACTGGTTTTAATATAACTTTTCTTGTGTAGGAACTTCGTTGTAGAGAAGAGGAGTTAACCAGAGCACAGCTTCAGCAGCGGTTGATGGAACAGAATTTAGCGCAGAAAGAGAGAGAATTGGAAATGAGAGAAATAGATCTAGCCGCAAGAGAATTACACATACTGATAGTAGCCAGTAACATGTCGCATACACAGCCGCCACAGCCCAATAAGAGAAAGGGTGAGATTCACTAAATAAAATCGTCTTAAGATACAATTACATAACGAGTTGTTTTACTCATTCAATGTATTCCATTTATATACGTACGTTCAGCGTACGTTTAGTTGTGTTCTTTAGCATCGTAAATGATAAGCTAGTATGGAGTGAGCTACTTAAAATTTTTCTGACAAGAATGCATGTATCAAGTATATATAATTCGTTTATGGTCATTAATTTAGTTAAAATACCCATAATAACATGTCCATAAACTAATTTTTTTTTTCAGGCAAATTCCACAAGATGAAGTTACTGAAAAAGGACACGATCTCATCTCCACTTGACTTTAGGCACACGTTGACAGTTAGACAATCGGATGACGAGTCTAGTGTTAAACAACTTGTAGCAGTTGCTAAAGACACTCCGCCAGGCTCACCGGCCATTATGAGACCCATCGTCTGTAAGTACTACCTAGACCTTGAAACAATATCGTACAACAACATAAGTATTGGTATTAGTATGAATATAATATTACATTATGGTGATGGAAGTATGCTACAGAAAAAAATATTTATATATATGGTAACATTAGTTCCCTTATATTATAACTTACATTCTTTTCGTGTAGGTCGTCAATTCAACCGAAAGTCACGTTAAGGTCAAACTGACAAAGTTTTATGACGAGAAAATAAACTAATCTTATATATCTTTTAGCACCAACACTAATTTATCTTTAAAGATATCTTAAGTCATTTTACATTGTTTAAGTCATTTATTCTCTCTTCACAGAATACTTGATACACATCATCCATTAGTGGTTGGGATTTATAATATTATTTAAATCACAGAATTAAACCTCATAGAACATATTCAAACTAATGCCAGTCTTGTATTTCTATTGCTGACTAAGTAGTAATAAATGTGTTTCAGTAGCACTTAGTAAACATTCTTGAAATGCAGTGCTAATATGATTTATATTGGATGACGACGACTGTCTCTTAAAATGTTTTTTTTATTTATTTATTTACTACAATCTGTTCTTCAAGGGACATGCAGAAGTATGTAGGTTTTGTGCTTTTACAGACACGCTCAGTATGTGACCTGTGCCACATACTCATTGTTTAATTTGTAATGTTTACTGTGATTGGATTAGGTCTTTAGGTATTTTATTTAATCGTCGCGCTTTGTTATGATTATCTCTTTAAAAGTAATTGTATTGTGTTTCAGTGCCAGCGGACGGAGTGAAAGGGAAAACTTGGGGTCCATCGACGGGTCACCAGCGGGCTCGAGCACATCTACCGCTGCCGGCGCTCAGACCTCGCGCACACAGACCGTCAACCTCCGCCCCGCACCTACCACCGCACGCACCACGCGCGCCTCATCCAGGTACACACGAACACACGACACATAATAGTACAGACATACTCTCCCTACACACACTAGTACCGACACATTCTCCCTACACACACTAGGACCGACACACTCTCCCTACACACACTAGTACCGACACACTCTCCCTACACACACTAGTACCGACACACTCTCCCTACACACACTAGTACCGACACACTCTCCCTACACACACTAGTACCGACACACTCTCCCTACACACACTAGTACCGACACACTCTCCCTACACACACTAGGAGCGACACACTCTCCCTACACACACTAGTACCGACACACTCTCCCTACACACACTAGGACCGACACACTCTCCCTACACACACTAGTACTGACACACTCTCCCTACACACATTAGTACCGACACACTCTCCCTACACACACTAGGAGCGACACACTCTCCCTACACACACTAGTACCGACACACTCTCCCTACACACACTAGTACCGACACACTCTCCCTACACACACTAGTACCGACACACTCTCCCTACACACACTAGGAGCGACACACTCTGCCTACACACACTAGTACCGACACACTCTCCCTACACACACTAGGACCGACACACTCTCCCTACACACACTAGTACTGACACACTCTCCCTACACACACTAGTACCGACATACTCTGCCTACACACACTAGTACAGACACACTCTGCCTACACACACTAGTACTGACACACTCTCCCTACACACACTAGGACCGACACACTCTCCCTACACACACTAGTACCGACACACTCTCCCTACACACACTAGGACCGATACACTCTCCCTACACACACTAGTACTGACACACTCTCCCTACACACACTAGTACCGACACACTCTCCCTACAGACACTAGTACCGACACACTCTCCCTACACACACTAGTACCGACACACTCTCCCTACACACACTAGTACAGACACACTCTAACTACACACACTAGTACAGACACACTCTCCCTACACACACTAGTACCGACACACTCTCCCTACACACACTAGTACAGACACACTCTAACTACACACACTAGTACAGACACACTCTCCCTACACACACTAGTACCGACACACTCTCCCTACACACACTAGTACCGACACACTCTCCCTACACACACTAGTACAGACACACTCTCCCTACACACACTAGGACCGACACACTCTCCCTACACACACTAGTACAGACACACTCTCCCTACACACACTAGTACCGACACACTCTCCCTACACACACTAGTACAGACACACTCTAACTACACACACTAGTACAGACACACTCTCCCTACACACACTAGTACCGACACACTCTCCCTACACACACTAGTACAGACACACTCTAACTACACACACTAGTACAGACACACTCTCCCTACACACACTAGTACCGACACACTCTCCCTACACACACTAGTACAGACACACTCTCCCTACACACACTAGTACCGACACACTCTCCCTACACACACTAGTACAGACACACTCTAACTACACACACTAGTACAGACACACTCTCCCTACACACACTAGTACCGACACACTCTCCCTACACACACTAGTACAGACACACTCTAACTACACACACTAGTACAGACACACTCTCCCTACACACACTAGTACCGACACACTCTCCCTACACACATTAGTACCGACACACTCTGCCTACACTCTTATGACACCTTTACTGTATTTTTGTCAAATTATAATATTTACCTTACAATAATTATAATAACGTTATGACGTCATGCCTATATTTCGAATCATATATCACTTCAACGTGATGTAATATGATATTAGTTTTCTGAAAATTATTTTGATATGATAAACATTGCCACAATATTCTACATGAAATGTAGTTGCTCTATAGAATATATTATGGTATTTATAACATATTAGGAGTATAGTAAATAAATGTACACGGGATCTTTAAGATATATCAAAAGTATGTCTGTTTGTTACTAGTTGAATGATCTATATGTAATATGTACCGTACGCTCAGTCATTATTGTATTGAAGTAACGAAACAGTATAACAAATGTTAAATGGAAACCGCGGCAGGGCTTATAACGATAAACGCGATCGAGGAAACGAAACGCAAACCGCGCAAGTCGAAATCACAAGTACGGGCGCCCAAGTCGGAGATAGCGAAGAAGAGGTCGGGCAGTCATGACGACTTACTGGACGCTGAGCCTAGGAGGAATAAGTTCTTCATGTGTCCAATGTTCACGAGCGACCTGACGCATCACTACGACACGGTGTTTGACACTACTCCGACCAGGAAGGAGAAGAAGACCTTCCTTAAAAGCATACGCTCCAATAGCTTGGCAGGCTTGCTGGCGGGGACCGGCGCAATCACAAACGATACAGCCGAACTACTCCGGGACGACTGACAGACATATAATACGAAATTTACGTATATACAGGGTGTGTACGACGTATTAACATCAAGGCTTCAGAACTCAGACAGTAAATTTAGTAGATATGGAACGAACGTACAAATGTGTTGCCATATTAATACATATCCCGTACTAACATTCCGTGTTTGCATTTCATATTGCCATATTTTTTTCACATGCGACAATTTTTTGATTGGATCCAGTACACGTAATAAATTTTCGTCCCCCACACTCACATGTATATAGTAAAGTTTCAAGGATTTGAATGATTGTTAAGTTTAGTTAAGTAGGAAGAAAAAAAAATAAAAAAAGACTTATATTTGTTAGGTTAGTTAGGTCGAGTTAGTTGTAAGAGCAGTTTTACTGTATACGGAACATACAACGCGTCAACGTCTTGTGAACATTCGATTCTGTATTATATGAATATTTTTCCCAATAATTTGTTTACAGTAATCTCTAAGTAATAGTTTGTATTGTGTATGAATTTGGACGCATTTATCTCACTAGTATGTAATGTTAGTACTATACTTGTATTCTATGGTATAAGTAGTTTGTAATGCGCTGTGTTCATATTCGGTAAACCCTCATATATCTGAATCCTTTGTTTTTGATGCAAATAAAGTTTATTAGAAATTCAATACATAATGTAGTCTTGCCAAAATCCTTGTATAAGGGTAGGGACGTCACAGAAAATGCAATGAAAATACAAAAAAATATGTTAGTAATAAGTAGTGGGTAATGTTTATCCTTTTATTGAATTGATGGTAAACATATTTTTTCTTCCTGTCCACCTCGCTGCTCTAAAGGAACGTCTCAAGATAATCTGCCATATCCTTGTAAGTACTTCACAATATATAAACTATGTGACTGATTAATAATTAGTTTGTTCTACTTTAGATACGTGTCACAAAACAATCAAAAATACATTCTAATTAATGAAATGGCAGATAGTTTAGTTTTTTTTTAATATTATCTTTAATTAATTCTATACATATTTTAAGTTCGTTGTAGGAGATTGTGTGATAATGATTTTGTATTTGTGAGTTGATTTTTTTACTGTAGCATAATTTATGTAGTATCGAGTCGTATAATTTTTGTTTTTTTTTTATCTGAATGTACTTTTTGACATTTTTTTTTGTAAATTGTAAGCATTTGTTTGCTTCCAGCCTGTTTTTTTTTATTTTTTTGTTTATAAGTGCTATGCATGCTTCTCAGTTCATAGTTACGCTACGATAAAGTATAAGTGAATATAAATATATATGTATCTGTCGTACTTACTTATTTTTAGTCCATATGATAATTCGCTTCGTCTATCACCATGTCAACGGCACGCTTTCAAATGTTTACAATAGTCTAATATCGACATGAAAAGTCCATGTGATGAGAAATTAGTAAAGAGACGCAAGAGAACATATAGACTTCTCATACGGTCATATAGACTTCTCATATTATATAGAGTAGGTTGAATTAAATAGTACAAAATAAGACAATAAAACTCTCGCTGTAACAATGTGGGTGGTGGATACAAAAGAGGCTCCGATGTACGCTGTGACGAACAGCACAAACAATCTGGTGATCTGGTTCTAGATATTATAATTAGTATTTTTTTTTATATATATATATCAAATAAACCTTTTCCATAAAATCGATGCTGGTGTATTCTTTTAACATGGGTCTACTAATCAATAGCTACTAACAGAACCCCTAACATTCGGACAGTCAAATAGAAATAAACGAGACCAAAGAAATGGTGACGGAATGATGGAATATATTATAAAAAAAAATATATCCGGCTTTAGCTTCTCATACGAGCTGTAACTGGGAAGGAAAGTCTCGACACACGAGCGATAATAATTAATAACAATATTAAAACGTACCAGTGCCATGACAAGTTTATTTGCATAAGTAAGTATATAGATTGATTTTTACATTTGTTTTTGCTTTTTATGTTGCTTATTATATGACATGAACTGTTTGGCATGTATAGTTCACTTCACGACTGCATGGTATCCACACCTTTCGATATTATTATATCATATATATTATTATATTAATATTTAGTCACTTCTCTCATTCTGTATCACGTTGTATAATCAATTATTCTGAATGACCATCGAGGTGTTTCATTGTTTATTTGGTAATTCATGTGACCAAAGCATTATTTAAGGAGAACTGTAACGGAATCATAGTTTTGTCAGGAATAAGTTTCTATATGATTATAGATTAATTTAAGTTGTTATGTAATCATGGTTTCCGAGGAGCTGTATGTTATAAATAATCAAATTGCTTCATTATGTGATGACGCCCTCTGTTGTCGCTGTAAGTGTACTAACGTATGTTTTTCATTCACCTAGGTTGTTTTCTTCCTTACACAGACTTCAGTCCGGACGACTGGGGCCCGGAGTTTCCTTTGAGTACGTCGTCTAGATACACTGTACCCATGCCGACATTGTACAGCACTGAAGGTTAGTTAGATTATCTCATATTAATTGATTGTAATATATAGGTGGTAGAGCCTAGCTGTGGTCAAGTTACTATTGCTCGAACATGAGAGTACCACCCTCTCACAGAAGATCGGCGTGAAGTAGCCTTTAATGGCTGCGTTTCGTCCGATGAGTGAAAGGACGATTGCCCTTTATCTTTTCTTACCTTACTTCTGCCTCTTCCGAAGCCAATAGTGGCAACACATCCGCAAAACTATATTGTTTAGCATAAAAAATATATAAAAACTTTATATGTATTTAAATAATATCCCTACTACTATTATAAATGCGAAAGTAACTCTGTCTGTCTTTCACGCCTAAACCACTGAACTGCTTTTAATGAAATTTTGTACAGAGATAGAGTTGACCTTGAGAAAAAACATAGGATAGTTTTTATCACAGACTTTTGAAAGGTTCTCTTGGAAACGCGATATAACCGAACTACACGCGAGTAGCTAGTATGCTATATATACTTCTACTATTATTTTGATTGTACTTTACTTATTTATCGTAATATATTTAAATTTATTAATAACCTCAATCTACGTCTATTATCCATATTAATGTAATTCTTTATCATATTTCAGGATACAAATACAAGAAACCTAGTATAATTGAACTAGTTCTATACAATATGGCAGCCCTGCTAGGAGGTGTAGCCGCTGGGTATGATGTTAGAGTGTCGAACGTTAGCCCATTACATCCCACGCTACAACCGCATAAGTGAGTTTAAAATATAAGTTAATTTATGAAATTAATTTAAAGGAATGTCTTACTTATTAAATATTTTTAAATTTCAGGCCAGAATTAGAGACGGAAGTTATAGGCACCTCAATCTACGAAGGCTTCGGCTTCGCTCACAATACATACCACGGACCAACGAGACATTTACGGGCGCCGCTTAACGCTATCACCGGTTCACCGGTTAGTAATTTTTTGTCATCTCTAGACGAATGTATATAGATAATTAGGCCAGGCAGATGCCTTTAAAAACAATGAAAAGTGAAAATAAATTATAGTAGAATGAAACTCATTAGAAAAGGAGGGGAATATTATAAAAATTAAAGGAAAAATAATTTACGGGCGTTCTGAGGTCGGGAAGGGTATGGGGTAATACCCATGTATTTAAGGGTAAAAAATCGGTTTTCACGATTTTCGGCAAAACTTAAAGTCCTACAGAAAAAAATATATTGCAAAGTTGTAGGTAATAAAAAGATCTAAAACTTTTGTATTAACATATTTTTCACATAACCTCAAATTTTATGTGAAAAATTCAAAAAACCAAGTTCTTCGTTTTTTATTTTTATCTCTTCCAAAAACAATTTTTTGACACGAAACTTGGTTAAAACTTTCCTTTTGATGTTCCCAAATGCACTGTAATTTATTTGATTAGAAATATTTATTTTTTCAGCTTATCTTCTATATATATAAAAATGGATTGCTGTTCCTTAGTCTCGCTAAAACTCGAGAACAGCTGAACGGATTTATCTTATCTTAGTCTTTAAATGTTCGTGGAGGTTCAGGGAAGGTATAAAACCTGAAAAAAATTGATTCATTACTGGGAAAACCATAAAAACAGCCCTTTTCTCTTTCCCATACAAACGTTTCTTTTCACATTAGATTTGACAACTAACTAATATGTCAATCATTCTGTCGCACTTCAAAACACGGAGATTTAATGCTTACAGGTAAACTCCAAAAATATAAATAAAAAAACGTAATAGATATTTCTTGACTATAGGGCGATACGAAGTTCGCCAGGTCTTCTAGTTTTAAATAAATACCGAAAAATCAGCCTCATTTTCAATCAAAAATCACCCGTCAAAATATCAGCTTTTTAAAAAAAAATTGTAGAAATCTCTATTTTCCGATGGTGAAGAAAAAAATATAACTTTCTTCTTTACAGTACCATTTTTGCATAAAATAATCATGTTTCTTTTTACCGAAAAGACACTCGACATCGTTTTGAAAATGCTCTTTCTAATTTATTTTTAATAGTTGTGTACTCTGAAAGTTCTCCAGATAGTCCCTCTCTTAGGTAATTTACAGAAAATTGACATTAAGCTGCTAAATCTATTAAAAATAAATTGAAAGAGCGTTTTCCAAACGATATCGAATGTCATTTCATTAAAAGGGACATGATTATTTTATCCAAAATTGGTACTGCAAGTAAGAAACTTATATTTTTCTTCACAATCGGAAAATAGAGATTTCAACAAATAGAAAACATACAAGATTTTTTTAAAATGCTGATATTTTGACGGCTGATTTTTCGATTGAAAATGAGACTGATTTTTCAGTATTTATTGAAAATAAGCTGAAAAAATAAATATTTCTAATCAAATAAATTACAGTGCATTTGGAACATCAAAAAGAAAGTTTTCACAAAATTTCATTACAAAAAATTATTTTTTGGAAGAGATAAAAATAAAAAAACCAAAAACTTGGTTTTTCGAATTTTTCACATAAAATTTGAGGTTATGTGAAAAATATGTTAGTACAAAAGTTTTCGATCTTTTTATTACCTACAAATCTGCCATATATTTTTTTTCTGTAGGACTTATTTTTTCCTTTAATTTTTATAATATTCCCCTCCTTTTCTAATGAGTTTCATTCTCCTATGTATAATTTAATTGTGTTTTAAAAGCTATCGGTACTGGTCTAAATATGTTATGTAAGATATAATACAGCTTCGTCTGCTCCGACATCTGCTTTAAGATCTGAATTGCAGTCGTAAATCTCATTCCATGAATATCATACATTTCAGATATCAAGCCTTCAAGTTGAGGAGCAGAAGCCGATTCGGTTTACCGACTCGCCCACCCACTACGGCCACCCGTCCTCATCGTCCGGGTACGCGCACTCCGCGCAGCCGCTGTCCGGTACGTCGGGACTCGGCACCAACTACACGTCCACACAACACACGCCCTCACCACGCCGGACGTCCTCAACAACGTCCGACCACCTCGCCGACCTCTACCACAACTATAGAGAGAACTTCCAGCCAACCTCCGCCTCACAAGAACGCATACAGGACTACTACTACCGCGCCGAGCCGTACGCATACGACCGGACAGCGGACTATGTCGTGAAGCATCCTTATTACGGGTACGACGAGTGCTCCTTCGAGTACCGAGACTCGCCGGAGTTCAGGCCGACCTACCTCGCTCACAGGCGGACGCCGTCCAACTCGTCGGCTACCAACTCGCACGCCGACGAGTTCTCCCCGTCCAGGCAGTACCGGGAGAAGTACAACAAGGACAGGAGGGACGACTATCGGACACAGAAGGAGTACCCGAGGAAGACGAGTGACTACTCACTGCCGAGGGACTACTACCGGACGGAGTCAGAACCGGAGCGGCCCGCCGTGCTGGGTCTAGAGCCTACCAAGCTACGATCTAGTCTTAAGAAGTACAAAAAAGGCTCGAGTAGTTCGGGCGGAGGCTCGCCCAACCCCACGCCACCGGACAGTCTCAGCGAGACGGACAGCTCGTACGCCTCAGCGCGTGAGTCGGCCGGCTCCGCGCGTGTTAGGTTCAGTCCGGACGCGCGGCGGTCGTAGCGACGGGCCGCCTTCAGACACTACCTCGTGTGACGCTCAGTGTGTACTCAGCCTTAGTGTTGTGACGGTCGACATTAACTTGTGTTCATATTTATGTAGTCTTTGTATATTTGTAAAATGAGCCGACTCTGATGTAACCGTTCGCGAGGTATTGACTCGTTAGCTGTAACCCGAGTGACAAGCTTTATCGTGATGTATCGTACTATGTATGTAGACTAAAGATATATATAACGGAACGTCTTATTGAGATTAAACTGTAGACTCGTTCAAATGGATTTCTTTAGAGTGGTTATTCAGGGTGTTTCGTGTAGAGTCGACGACGTAGGCACAAAGTAAATACAACTGTACAAATGTAAATATGCACGACCTGTATAAGCTTTTTTATTTAACTGGCATTTATTTTTGATATAGTGATTACTTTTTTTTGTTTTTTTTTTTACATTCTGTTGACATATAAATAGTACAAATGTGTTTTAAGGTGTTCTCGTAAGTATGAAGTCGACAAGGTTCTGTGTATATTTGAACTATCAATATGTAAATCGTATTAATTAAATTGTATGCATTTTGTACAAAAATATAAAAAAATGAGATATTTTTACAGAATATCGTGTAACTGTAGCGAGTAGGCAGCTTTTATATCAGAGGGAGTGTACGTTAGATCCTGTGACTAGTCCTCTTTATATATATGAGAAATGTTGCATATCCTGGTTAACTGATATTACGCTTTATGTACTCGGAACTAAATTATTTATATACCGGAGGCGGAATTAATAATAAGGGGTATATCGAAATTAATATTAGCTTTGATATTATTAGCGAAACCAGTGCCTAAACTATGAAGGAACGGTTTTAAGACATTTTGTAAGAGATGTGGTTTTTGAATGTATCGATCATTGTGTTATAGGCCAGGCCAGTACGCGCTGTATTCTTTGTATATTTATTTCCGTTCTCTCGTCGTGCAATAACTTGTAATTTTTTTGCGTCCATTTTTTTTATTATTATTTTATTTTAACATTTATTAATCGTCGTCGTGAATGAGCAGTATTCTATACAGTATTGGTGTTATGAATCTTTTGAGGAACTAACAATTAAGTTATTAATCTCGGCGTCCCACGAGCCGTTCGTGTCATAGCTTTCTGTATATATAATTCACGGCGCAAATACTTAAAAACCTCTAGTCTTGAATATTTTTTATTTATTTTTATTAGATAACTGGGATAACTGGCGATGTTGTAATGAATCATGTAATTAACGATTCGGCATTCCATTGTTTTGTATGAACCGGTACATTCCATGTCGCTTCTGGTCGTGATATTATGCTCAGTGGATGGTTTATAGATGGTTCTGTGTGCCAATAGCGGGTTCGGATGATGCCTTAAGTATGTACGTTAAACCGACAAATAAAAAATAGATTAAGCTTTTTACAATGTCTTGTTATTTATAACCCGAACACTTCGATCTATAATATATAAAAAATATGATTCTGGGGTAGTTGGGTGAAGAGACGAACATGTTTCAGGTAAAGGAAGTTCTAGTTTCAGATTTTTTAATACATATTCAATTGGTCTTAAAGATCAAAATTATAATTGACAAAGAAAACAACACAATTAATACAAAACAATTTATTGTATTCCGGATATCTAAAATACTGTTCCGTGCATGTAAATATAAATATAAATACTCGTGTCCTTAAAACTATGTTACAGCTTCGATCACTTAAACTACAGTGTTCAATGAAAACGGACAGTCTTCAATATGTTACATTATCATGGACATAAAAAGGACATGATTTTTGTTTTTATAATTTCAAAAATATAAAAATTGTTACGACTTTATTCCTAACATCCAATTTTCAACCCTGAGATTCATCCAATTGTTAAATTTTTAAATATAATTCTGGTTCAAAACCAAACCTTATTTCTACACGATGAATACCATCGGAAATATCACAATCATTAAACAATATGTACGTTAAAACTAAATATATGTAACTTACTGCTAGAGACGCACAAAATAAGACTATGTGACTAGTGAAAATGCAGTTTAAATGCAATATTGTGTCAAAATTGTGACCATACACTGATATACTACGCATAATTCCATCATTTCCAATTAAGTTTAAAGCTTATAAAAGTTATTAAAATTTACGTTTAACAAATTTACATTAAATCAACACATCTACACGTGGATCGATTCATAAATATTGCAAAAAATAGACAAAGCATCACACAAATATGAATAACGCGCACAGTAGAGCGTCACTGGCATCTGGCCAGGAAAACATCTCGGGCGGGAATTAATTTTCCGAATGTAACGTAATTTCTCAGATAAAGTTTATGTTACATTTAACGTCCAATAAATTATTTTTAATTAATTCAAAGGAAACACAGATATAACACAAGCCCTACATGAGTAGCTAGCGATGTTTGTCATTTTAATCTTTTTAATTTATCCTTATCTCCCATTTTGGCTCATAGCCGACGAATAATCTCAAACTTATATTCAGGGTCTTTCGCTATTGTAGTGATGATTCACTAAATGCTAGACACTTGTCAGTCAACGGCAGGCGGGCCTTTAGAACATCGAATATATACAACATAGTAATATTTAATATGATAGGAATGTATATACTAATAACATTACAAGATCAGTTATCGATTCCTTCGTATCATCTTAATTAGATAAAGATTATATAGTATATAATTAATAACAACACACACAATAAACAGTCATACATTTTTGTCGGAACTTAAAAGGTTTCCCTATACAATTATTATGTATTCATTAACAGTACGACAGCATACATGACGACTGTCGACGTCTTTAGGAATACGAAACAATTCGCATGCTCTGTACAGGTGACGATACTACGATATATAAAGACTATATTCAGTTAGCAACCAAACATATACATAAAAAACAAAGCAACAATACACGAGAATATATTACACAAATTGAGTATTTATAAGATAAACGAAATGTGATTGTGAACATCAGCCGTTAAATGATCCCAGTATGTTACTTTATTGCTTACTCATCGCAACCGGTTTAAGTAATAAAATGTTCATATACTTTGGCAGCACGTCAATCTATACGGGAATCCCTTAAATAACCAACAGGAAGGGTAAGTCGGGGAAAGTAGATACTAATTAAAGGGACTTTATACTTTGTACAATATTTTCTATAGATTTTGTTACTTAAAACAATGTCTCGACTTGAATTTAAATACAAAAATATCGTTAGGATATTTGTACATTTGTGCTCATCTCTGTGCCAATAGAAGTAATTTTGTCAATTCTACAAAACATAAGTTCAATATTGGTTCGGGTCATCAGATTTGGTAATTTTGCAACAAAACGGGATACCTCATTTATCGAGGTCTGTAATGCTAGTGATAACTCCTACTGATATGATCCCTGAACCACGATAAAGACTAAGGCGGGAACATTAATACTCTCACATTCAAATAAGCGAATTATCTTTTATAGTAAACATGTTATTCGAGCGATTTAAACCCCGACGGGCAGTATGGATTTTGTCTGCGCTCTTTTCCTCTTCGTATACTGAAATTCGCCAGAAAAACTAAAATTCTCACTCGCACCACTCAGACTTTAAACTTTACAAACGAGTTACATGAATATTAATGAGGAATATGAACAAAAAAATAACAAATTATTTCCATTATTCGAATAGGACTTCAATTAACCTTGGAGATTTGAATTCATTTTAATATAAAATTTTGTGTCTCGGACGAGTATAATGATATTTTATATCATTAAATTATTATTATATTAAATTCCTTCCAGTGTTAATCACTACTATCAAACATCTCGCTATACCAAGTTATTATTCTTTTGAGAAGCTTCTTGGTCGATCGGATTAAATATATTGATTTTATTATAAATGCGGCCTAGCAGACGACTGACTCAGACTAATTCCCCTCGAGACTACAATAAACCCCGAAATGATAACATGTTATATCTAAACATATAATCATTCTCAGTCTGATTTGTGGCGTAAAAGATATTACGTCCCTTAAAGTCTCGAAAATTAAACTAAGTACGTATTATTACAAACGGACATTATTGAAAGTTGATGAATAGTATAAACTCAAAACAATTGTAAATACAACATGATAAAAACATGTTTTTCCAACTCAAATATTTGAATCACTAAGTACATTTAATGTTAAGTTTTATCAAAAACGCGACACTTGACGTGTTTACGTCACGTAATAGGTCATTGGTAGCTATCACTAATGATATTGGCCGAGGTTAGTTTTTTATAAATGCGTGGAAAACCGACGAATATCGTATGTCAAGAAGAGTTCAGACGTTGTCGACGTGCGATTATAATGGCATTCGCCCGACATAAACTTTATAAAACGGTTAATGCCTCGAGTAACGGACATCGCCTCGTGTACACCGTTTAATGATTTAGGAAAACCAATGTATTAATTGATTTCTATTTTAAGTACACAGTCGACTCCTACTTTTAAAATCATTATCTCGAGGCTAAAGACTTTAAAACAACCAATTTATGCTATAGAGAGACTTAAATCAAGTTTGGATTCATTATCATAAATTAAAACCAGAATAATAAAATACATTTTTAGTATTAAATACATATATTAAAACAGATTTAGCACACATAAGAAAATACATATAAATTACTTATAATTAATTATATATAGGCATAGCCAGCATATACCTAACAAATTTGCTAACATAAATTATAATATATGTGATTATACATACATAGAGACTACATATTATATGGTTATAGTGAAGTATACATATACTTAGTTACAATAATAATTGGCAAAAATTGATAACTTGCTACGATTTAGCACAAATATAATCCAAATAAGATTACGGAGGGACATCCTTCCAAGTGAATTCTATTCAAATGTTTATATTCCAGTTTCATGGGCACAGTTAAACAATTTTAATATTTCATATGCATTATAGAATATAAGAAACTTTGAAGAGAACCTATCATCTAAGCTTAACTATATTAGTTAGAAAAGTATTAAAATATTTTTATTTTACAAATAAAAATGTTTTTAACAAACCAATCATCCAAATTCGCGGTATCCGCAAAACGATGACGATACAGGGACAGATTATTATCGATATAAAAAATTTGGCTTTCAATTGTCATTAGTTAAGCACCGTACGCGAATTACATTCAATTAAAAAAATGCAAAAAATGTTAAATTACTAGAGACATTTTAAAACTAGAAAATGATATATATAAAATATTTTTTATATAATGAATTTTAAATGAATTATAGAGTATAATTTATGCGACAAAGTGTATGTGTCGAATGACGCGTAAGGTCATCGACTCACGCTCGACGAAAATATTTATAGACGGTGCCCTTGAGAAGGGCAGAGTTCCAAGCACCTCGACGGACAATCTCACTTTACCGAGCAAAATCAATACTGACTTGATAACAAACGGTTAAACAGACTTATCAGAAACACAACGTCCTGTTACAAAGACATTACATAGGTCCGAAACTTTAAACATAACATATAATATGAAAGCTATTTAATTAGTATGGAATTATGTATTATATTACTCACCATTGTATGTCATCCGTCACTTTCTACTTTCTCAATTTTTCATTCCGTTATCGAGGGGTTGTACACTAAACTAGACGTATTCTTAGCGTGGCAGTATAGATCACTTAACTTTATAGTTTTGGACCACTTTATCGTACTATACGGTTCCCTACGGCACGCGGACGCACGACTAGTCGAGATATTGTAACACATCACTTACTGGAGATTTACTCTTAACATAGAAACATTAGTCAGTGTATACCTATGTAAGTTTTAGAGGTTCATTGTTTAGACTCGAGCCGCCCGCGCCGCGACGATCCTATACATCATAATACATAGCTAACGATATAATTCTGGTAAATATAATAATAGAGGCCATAAACCTGTGCGAATATAAACAAATAAAATAACTCATATCTGTTCTCAACTACACAACATGCAATATTCAAGCAGCTTACAGGCGAGTTGCCGACAATAAACACAATACAAAAATATTATGTACAAGTTATCACTACTGCCACAGATATTAATATTTATTATGGATACGTATATGTATTATAAGTAAATAAGGATAGGACGAGGAACGATGTATATAGAAAAAAAATAGAGAAATATACAATACACTCTATTTAAACATGAAATTTATTAAAGATTCAAAACATACAATGGTTGTTTACACAAAATAAAAATACGTGGAGGAGGGAGGCGACCGTGGGGCTGGCAGGCGGGCCCCGCGCCACCGACACATACTGACAGTAATATAATAATACCATATCATACGATAAAAGTACACATATAGGATATATCGTTAAGCAACTCAACTCACTGGTAGTCATGTCGTGCTCTCGCCGGTATAAAACTATATTAAATCTTACAAAAATACTTATGCGACTAATCTGAAATGCACATAGAGGATCTCGCGTCTCGACTACAAAAATATTTTAGAGTTTGGAATGAAAACTTTCGGCCCCGGGACGGTCACGCACGAGACTAATTGTTTCTCTTCTGCGTCTTAAAGCTAACCGATAGGACCTGCCCGTTGAGCGTGTAGCCGTTCAGAGCCTGGATGGCCATAGCGGCCTCGTCGTACTCGCGCATGTTAACGAACGCGAACCCCTTGTTTTTTCTTCGTCTCGGGGTCCTTGATCACTTTAATGGAGTCTATGGCGCCGTAGGGACCGAACAGTTGCCACAGCGCCAGCTCCTCCGTGTCCTCGCCCACGTTGTATACGTACACCGTGGTCTGAGGGGCGGCCGGCGCGCCCAGCAGCGGCACCGGGCTGGCCGGGGCGCCTAGCAACGGTAACGGACTGTGGTTAGTGGCGGCCATGGGGTTGAAGCGCTGCTGGCCCTTGTTGATGAAGGGCAGTGCCTTACCCGGGGACGGCAGCAGCGGCGGCGGCGACGCCTGCGGGAAGCCCGGCGCGAACGCGGTGGCCGGCCGCGCGCCGAACGCGCTCAGGTTGGTGCCGTTGAAGGCGGGCGTGGAGCCGTTGAACACGGCCGCCGCGCCGTTGTAGGCCAGCGGCGCCGCGCTCACGCCGACCCTCTGGATGGGCCGCGGCGCGTTCTTGTTGGCGCTGGGCTTGTTGGCGAACTTCACCACGATGGCGCCGGCGCCGGGGATCGGTGACTGGCCGTTCATGTGTGTTATCGCGTCCTCGGCCTGCTGCCGCGTCTCGTAGCACACGAAGCCGATACCTTGTGACACCCGACTGTTAGTTATGTTCCCGAACTGACCGAATAGCATGTTTAACCGCTCTAGTGTCATGTCCGGAGGTAGATTACTTATGTAAAGGTTTGACTCTGTGTCCGGTTTGTGGCTGACCTTGTTCTCTGGGTTCAGGAGCGCGAAGGACACCTTCAATGTCTTGCCCTGCATCAACAGGCCGTTGAATGCGGCTCGCGCCTTCTCGGCGTCCTCGTGTTTCTCGTATTCTACGAATCCGTACCCTCTATTTGCTATTAATTTACAGCTTTCTATTTTACCCATGGCGGAGAAGAGGGCATACATCATATCTCTCGTCATCAACTCTGGAATATAGTTTACCATAAGTTTGGTGGGTGACACATTGGAATTAGCGTCGCCGCCGCCATTCTCCATGTTCATATCGTTTTTTATCATTGTTCTTTATTTAACGAACTACACTACGACAAACAAAACTCTAATAAAACTCACACAGAAATATATTGGTTATTTCATTTGCAAAATAATACGAACAAAGAACGAACACAAAAAAACCTAAATCGTACAAAACGCCAACAGCAACGCCGGTTCACAAGTTCATCATCACACGACACATGAACGAGTTTGTTTTTGGAATGTTACCAGAACAATATTCTGTAGTTTCAAGCCGCACTAAACTTCCAATACTCTTATCTATGTTCATAAAGTTGATATGAACGAATCGACGTGCATTACTTTACTGCGGCTAAACTTATTTCATTTATTATAATATTTTTAAAAATACACGTGCAGCAATTATTGTCAAAATTCGAATTTTATTTTTTACGTGGCACCATTCAATTTAGAATACATCGTCTATGGTGAAACATTTGTATTGGATCTGTTTTAAAATATAATATATCTGTTTTTAATATTAATTGAAAGTATGAATATTATTCTAAAAGATTATTCGTATAAAAATATAATTTTATAATAACTATTTTAAATTTATTACTTTTATAGCAATATATTTATATATTTATTTAAAAAAATATTTAGCCTTGTTTATAGAGACATAAGGAGAACCAAAAATGAAATGTGTTATATACATGATCTTAGTATATTTATATAATATAAAAAGATTTTTTTATAATAAAATGGAGTATATTTTATGACAGTTGACAATTGACATTTAACATTTTATACATTTAAGCCTTAAGGTTATGCTAAAAATATAAGATATTAACCTTCTATAAAATTAATAACAAAAAAAATTGTTTGATGCCCGAATTGTAATTCATCTTAGTTGGAATTAAATTAAACATGTTCTTAACTAATGTTTTATTGAAAAAAGCTAAAAGCAAGTAGGTGTTTTTATAAAATATTTTACAATACATACAAAGTATTGTGTTCGATTAACAATTTATTCATATTATTTCAGGTATATAATGGTATTGATGGAGAGTGTTGTGTCTGGACACAAATTCAACCAAATAAGAGAACGATTGGCTGATAAATTGGAAATTATACGTTTTGATCCTTACAGTAAGTTTCGAGATTTTATATCATATAAATTACATTAATTTTACTTTTCGTTAAATGAATTTATAGCACTGAGCTTTAGGATGTCATAGTTTTATCACATTAAAACGAGTATTCTTTTTATTGCATCCATTTCGATAATTTATACACAGTGGGAAATGTAATGCTTTTAGATTTAATTGTTCTCGGACTCACAAAAATAATGTCTCTTTGTAACGGTCAGTTTAGTTAATATAGTATATACACTAGTTATTTTTATATCTCATCTACTATAAACAAGCATTTTATATTGATTTTATTACAATCATTATTGTATTTTACACCTATAAAAATAAAACAATTTATGTGCTTGTTTGTTATATTAAAAAAACTGAATTTTCCTAAATGTACTTGGATATATACAAAATACTTGTAAAAACAATTTTCGGTTTAGTTTTGTCCGTCTTTTTGCTTATCTCTGAAACAGTTTGACCAATTTAAATCAAAATATCAGTGGTAGGTATGTAGCTAGCATTGCCAGGCGTCCGGATAAAGCTGGACACAATTAGGCTTTTTGATTGCATGTCCGGCCAAAATAAACGGTGTCCGGCTTGTCGGGCTTTTGTTAGGCTTTTTACATTTCACAAACAAGGAAGCGCTGCCGCCGCGCCGCCGAGCATGTTCTTGAATGGAATCAAGTTTCCGATACTGTAAGTATCCTATCACAAAACAACGTTAAAATGGACGATAGCAAATGTTTTGACCAACTGCGAAATCTTAAAAGTTTTCTGAATATTAACAAAGGGAACGTTGATTTTAAGAAGATATTAGAAAATAAGAAATGTGTAGCCTATTTTAAATCGATGATAAGTCAAGATTGCTTTTCAGAATTCCTAACTATTTGTCAGTATTACTTTGCTATCCCAGGATATAACGCAAACGTTGAAAGAGTTTTTTCCTTGATAGGTCAGCAATGGACGAAAGAACGCCACAGATGTCAGATTACATATTGATCTGTCTTTCTAATCTAACTGAGTTCTTACAGCAGGTTTTGACTAACCAAAAATATTAATAATTATATTTATTGTGTAACTCAAAGAGAAAAAGTTTTTTTTTTGTTTTATATTTTAACTTAAAGAGAAGTTATTGATTTTTTTTAGTTAAAAAAGTATATTTTTTTTTTAGTTTAAAGAACTTTATTCTCATTATGACAACGTCATTTACATGAGAACTTATAACTAACTTATGTTTTTCTTACTTTAATTATTTGTGTTTTTCTTATTATTTAAGAAAAAATCAAACATGTTGATGAATGTTTAAGTATCTAGAATTTAATTTTGACTGATGACTATTTGACTGATTAATAATAAAGTACATACCTATCTAAGACAAATGGGCACTCGATTTTATTTATTATTTTACTAGAAATTAACAAGATTTATGATAAAAATCAAAAAGACTTTATTTTACATAAAAAAATTGTCGTACCTATTAATACTAAGACAAAATCCTCAATAATATAGAGTGTCCGGCTTTTTTAACTAAATGTCCGGCCAAACTGGTCGGTCTGTCCGGCTATTATGTTTGGCGACCTGGCAACGCTATATGTAACTAAGAAGAGATTTTAGTAATATACATTAATTTATACCAAGCCTTTGTCATCATAAAAAAAATATTTCAAAATGAAAAGTGTTGATCTTTAATAGTTTCATGCAAATCTAAAAAAAATTATATAGTAAAATATCTTTATACACTTTTCTATACAAATTTTGACTGTATTCATTCTATACTAAAATGTTTTCATCTTAATGATATGATCTAAGATTTTTGCGTTAAGAAAATTAGATTACAATAGAAAAAAAATTTTTTTTCAACTTTCTCCTTTTTGAAGTTAGTTAAAAAGTAGCTTAGGTTACACATAGTATTACTTATCTTCATGTATAATTCCTGATATAAATTAAGTTGTTTTATAGATTATCTTGAACAAACCAACAGACAGACCGACAAAAATCATAAAAAAACTAGTTTTTATGTACTTGCATAAATTGTAAATACTTTCATATGTATTTATGGAAAAGATAACTTGTTAATTAAAAACTTATTTAAAATAACAAGATTAATTTGAAATTGCAAACAAATACAGTTTTATATAATACTTTATAAATTTTATCGCCTTTCCATTGTTAATTATTATTAAATTTATTTGATATTTTCAGTTCAAGAAGAAAGTTTATACAAAGAAAAGAAGAAAATACGAAGTCTGAAATGAGCCATCAATTAATTTAATGTAAATAGTACTAGGGTAGTGAAACAACAATATATTTGTTTAAAATGTAATTTAATTTAAATAAACATCTTTCGTGACAATGTGTTTTAATACATTCTATCTATTAAGTACAATATTTAACATCATTTAATATAATAAATTTAGAATATATGCTTTACTTTCAATCTTTGTTGAATGCTTCGGGTTCAGCCGAAGCGAAGAATCAATTCCTTATTCTGGTGCTAGTAGTTAGACCATAATCACAATATATAAGTGTTAGAATACAATTTAAATGTGCAAACATTGCATATTCAATTCTTTAATATTAATTTTAATAAACACTTAAAATTATTCTCACTATCATTACCCTAACTTGAATCAAATTCAATAAATAATTTAGAGAAATACAGTAATTTAAAATATTAGAAAAAATTCAAATGATATTACATGAAAAATATTGATAAATAATGATTAATTGCTAGAGAAATAAATCCATTTAAGAATTATTATGAGAAAATATTTAACTATTAATAAAATTGACTAGACTGTGTTTTTCTAAATGTACTTATTCTATTTCTATATGTACTAAATATGAAAAATAATTAATGTAAATTATTTTATTTATAACACTGTCAATGAATTAAATTAGGTGATGATCTTTGGCATTGATTAACAGATTGTCATTGGTCCACTATTAAAAATAACTAGAGTAAAGTCAGCAAAACAAACTATATTATCGGATTAAGTCATTTTTTTGCTGACGGTACATATTATTGTATAACAACAGATATATAAAAAAACGTTACTAAGTTACATTGTTACAATAATGTATAAGATTCATTTTCAGTCATAATTTTATAAGTATTCGTTTTATTATAACTAATTTTACATTTTTATTATGTCACTTAAGACATGATTGTCACTTATTACTTAAAACTGATGAAAAAACAGTACTTTCGTTACACGAATATATATTTTTTTGATTTTTTTTCTGTTTAGAATAATACATGGCAATACTATCTAAAAACTATGTCGAAAAATCTACCGCCCTCTACATATTTAAATTGGAAATATAACATTGAAAACTTGAAAAAACGGTGCATAACATTATATTTTAAAATACGAATATGGAAACTTATATAAAATAATATAATAAAACTTGTTTTTTAATACACCGTAGATAATGTCTTATTTTAAATATAGTAATAATTTTGAAGGCCGAATACGAACACTTAATAAATTAAAATTTATCTTTTTTTTATTTCGTTCAAAATTTCGTACATACATTGAAATACAACATTTTAAGATATTAAATGAACAATAATATTAAATTGGCATATAATTGAATATTGACTTAATAATTATAAATATAACAATATATCATATTTCTTACTTATACTTAACATAATAACAATAATTCTAAAGTTTTCATGTTTGCATTCTTTATTAATTCTGTAGTAATGCATAAGTTTTGTATAATAATTTTATTATGCCACCAAATAAAATTATTAATAATAGATCTATAACATTGAAACATTTTTTGTCCAATACATGCACAAATTTCAAATATGCAAGTAAAATGTATCTCATCAAAGAATAATTCAAGAAAACAATAAAATCAAGCTTAATACTCTAAAAATGTAACAATTTTGATTAAATAAGAGAAATACAAACATTTCATAAACCTATTCATATTTTAATACATCAATACATAGTTGCCAGGATAGGTATTACATTTAGAATGCAACGTGTGGCAACACTATTTAATTTAAATGTCAAATAAAGTATGTAATACAATAAATATTATATTAATATTGTAACACTAATGAGATCACTCAACACTCACTTGAAGTCAATTCCTCTAACAGTGGTGCGATGTCAGGATACTTTCATGCAAAGAATTCAGTTTTACTCGCCATTTCGAACTCGGTCGCCTCCATTTTGTACATTTCGATCAGCTGATTGGAAATATGTTTGTGTTTAGATATGAAATATAATATTATTAAAATGTTGCCTTAATTTTTAGTGATGACTGAAGTTTACAAAAAATATTGATGAATATTTTTAAATATGTAATTGAAAACGAGTGATAGAAATTTTAATTATATATTTTTGGATTTAAACTGCGTTTATTCTGTCTAATTTTTATTTAAGCTAATTAACTAGTTGACATTTCAGAAAATTTTATAGGAAAGTTGTAAGTATTCTGCCAATGAATGGTTAAATCCGATAATACAGTAATGTTTGTTTTAAAGTGTATATTTTCCTTACATTATCAATATCTTTGTTGAGTTCCTCCATTTGCTTGTCGTGGGAAGCCTTCAGCTTGTCCTTTTCGCGGTTTTGTTTTATTGTTTGCGTCTGAAAATAACATTAAAAAAATATTTTATTATACTTTACAAAACTTTATCCTCTAAGTTGATTATTTAGGTGATTATTATTATATATTTTTTTCTGTGATCATACAATCTCCTCCGACGTATTATTTAATTTCTATATTTTTTCTTAATAGTAATGTCTAGAAATTATTGAAGGCTTACATTAAATATGAGTAACAATTTAAATCGTGCGATATTAACAGTAAACGAGGCTAGGTTGAAGTCCCACATATGTAATATGTATGTATTACATGCAGACTTGTCTTTGATACAGCGGAGTAAGGGAATATAGAAAGATATACTTACCGTAACTTACATATTAAGGCATTGATTCCTACAAATCAAACTCCAGCCAAAGCAGTTTAGAGCCCTACTACCAATTGATAAAGCTAGTAGTTATTATTAAGGCTATAATCCCTGATTATACAGGGTGTTGTATTAATGATACCATATTCCTGACTAGTGGCGGCCGGTGGGTAATCGAACCGGTGGTGCACTTTACTAAAATATTTAAATTAAAAAATGCAACAAAACATAACTAGATGTCAATCATGGCTCAATTCGTCATACATCGGGTGCTCTCGGTAATCTTCGGCCGCTCGTGCGGCGCTCGAGAACCGACTCATTACTCGGTACATTTCTATGAATTATCTTTTGTTTCACGCGTCAGGCGTATTAATGCGTATCTCATACAAGATGTATTAGCAGTCCTCGTGCACTCGCCGAAGCGCACGATATGAGTTTAGTAAAGCGCTCAAACTTTTTGATCATAATTAGGAAATTTAATTTTTTATACGTTTTTGTATGTTTGTATGTTTAACCCTGACTATACAGGGTGTAGTGACCGACCTTTCGTTCGTCCATGAATTTCTTAGTATTGTTCTGTTTCTTCTCCCTCAGTCTTCTGTCTTTCTCCTGTTTTGTTTTCAGCGTCTTGTCGTTGGCTACTTCCTTGCTCGTCTCAACACTGATCTTGGCTTGGCGAGTGTTCATTTCTTTCAGTTCTCTGAAATTCAGGTTTATAACAATTTATATTTCTTAATGACATTTTTTTATTGGCTAAAGCTATTATTTTCTATTTTAATAAATATATGTTAAGGTATCAAAGTAGTTGTTAGATTCCATTTGTTTAATTAGTTCTTTTTAATGAGTTTCTTTAATAGCTCGTTGGGTTTAAATTAAATCACCAGACTACTCAAAAGATTCCAGAAGAATTTTGTAAGCAAGCTCTTTTTTTAGAAGTGAAGGAAATTCTGTACATGTGTAAAGATGATTCTACTATTCTACTCAAACGTTTGATGTGTGTACGAAAGAGCGTAATTAATGGTATTAAGTGCCCTGCTTTGTCAGCAAGGTATGCAATGTATTTTAATACCGTTTAATTTAGATAAATAATAAATAAAATTACGTCTTTGGCTGTAATAGGATATACAGGGTGACTGGTGAATTACTATCGATATTTGAAGACGTGATATTTGACGATCATATATGTATGACAAAATAAAAATTAATATAACATAAATATTAATAAACTTCTAAGTAAAGTTAACCAAAAGTTATGTAATTAATTACGCATCGTGTGAACACCCTACAGATTAGGTATACACACACACTCACACACACGAAGCGGCGGCGTAGTGTTGTATCAGCACGCCGCCGCACGCGTCCACACTTGGAACACTTGGAACGTATCCACACTTTATTTATTTATACGGAAATTTGGTCAAAAATTAAGTACCTATTTTTGTTACATAATTCGAATGAGAATCATGTACCGAGTATTCTCCTTAAATATTGATAGTAATTCACCAGTCACCCTGTATATGTAAAATGGTCATAAAACTATAAAATCTATGGCAATTATGGAAAGGTATTTAAATTAACAAGCAGCAAAATATTTAGAAAAACAACGACTCGGTGAATTTCTCTTCAGTAAATGATCTGTCAAGACTTGACACTGAAATACATATTGAGACTACAAACAAACATGATAAAATATTAGAGTTTGCAAAGTTCTTAAATAAATGAACCGATTTCAATGAGTTCCGGATTAAAAGTTCAGAGAGAGCATTTGATCCGGGCGCTTACTATACAAGAACCGACCGGTGATGATGTATTCATATGATGATCATGATATTTTAGACAATATATGAATTTCTTAAAGTACATTTCCCATAAAAGTGAATTAGTACCCCCAGTTTATACCCCTTATTCCCTGGTTTCTTTGCTTGACCTGCTGTTAAACTGCCTGTTAACTAATACCTCCAAAGCAATCTACCAGCGACCTTCCACACCAGTACACACTTCCTACGTCTCATGCTTAGCCTCTTTGATACTTCCAAAACAATCATTCCTTTCTATACCAGTCCCTAGCTCTTACCTCTCATGCAAACCCTCATACCTACTCCAAAACAATCCACCATCGACCTTCATATACCAGTCCTTAGCTCCTACCTCTCATGCAAAATCTTATACCTACTCCAAAATAATCCACCAGCGACTTTCCTATACTAGTCCATACTCCCTACCTCTCATGTTTAGCCTCCAGTTGTTTGATCTGCGCCTGCTGCGCCTGTTCAGCGATCCTCTTCAACAGTTCCCTCTGTTCCTGTAGCCTCACGGTGTCTGCGGCGCTCCTCTCAGCTCGCTGTCTCCTAACTAGTTCGCCCCATACACCCGCCTGCTCACCAACCGCCGTACGAAATGTAGCGTCGGTACTCAGCTGTTCGCGACTATGGAGATGAGAAAATAAGGACTTAAACATCATGTATGCAGTGTTGGATAGTCAATTGAGTGTTTATACAAGTGAGTGTTTATGAGAAGATAAGGACATAGAAATAACTGGATAAAAAAATGTTATGTTATATGTATAATTAAGAGATGGGATATTTTGTCTCGTCTTCCGGTCATATCTCAAAGTAAAATGAATGCTTTTGAAAATGACTAATGAATTTGAAAGAATACAATAGAATGTATGCATGTTGTAAATACTATTAAAATGTGTAGTTAATTAGGATGGGTATATTGTGTATGTTGTTTGATGGGTGTATAGCACAGATTTTAATGAAATTTGAAACACAGATATTTTATATGCTGTTTTAAAATATAGTCAAGATTTTCCTGAAACTCAATTCAGTTGCTGCGACATCATAAAAGATATATTTTGTATAAAATCACATGATACGGATAATGGTTGGCGCGGACGTTTGGGTAATGTGTGTATTTTAGCAAATTTATTAGCGTTAACAGACTCCCTGACACACAAAATCTAGAAAACCAAAAATCATCATCCAAGTAATATCTGTCATCCCTACTAATATTATAAATGCGAAAGTAACTCTGCCTGTTACGCTTTCACGCCTAAACCACTGAACTGATTTTAATGAAATTTGGTACAAACAGAGTTCATCTTGAGAAAGAACATAGGATAGTTTTTATCCCAGACTTTTGAAAGGTTCCCTTGGAAACGCGATATAACCGAACTCCACGCAGGCGAAGCTAGCGGAAAGCTAGTGATAGTATATTCTTACTTTTTCCCCTTAATCAGTTTCTCCAGAGCGGCACACTGTTGTTTCTGTAGCGCCATCTTTTCTTTGGAGTGTCTCTTCTTCATAGCCTCCAAGTCTTTCTGTTGTTTGCGGCCGGTCTTGATGAAGCCTTTCTCCTGGCGAAGTGTCTCTACGGTGATCGGCTCGAACACCAAAGGTTCTGGATATAGAGATATGACAACACTTGAAATTATTATATGATGAAGCAATAAAATTCATATTCATTTTAATACTGAAAAAACGACCAAATGTAGTGCAAATTTTCCAGGGTCACAGTATATTCACACTGTTTCCCGTATCTCGTTTAGTTATTTATTTTTATCCTTTAGTGTGCGGAAATTTATAAATAAAAATCTATCAAAGCTCCGTATATATCGTGACATGAGTTTGCGAAGACAAAGACAATGAGTTTGCAAAGTACCAGTTGTTCATTAATATAATAGTCCCATGCAAGAAAAACTAATGGAAATCTGGTAACTATCTACTTGAAACACTACGTAATTTTATCACACGGCCATGTTGGTCGTAAAAATAAAAAGCAACGTAATAAATGAATAGCCAATTTGTTAATTGCGTTCAACACTTTGAAAATTCTAATTCATTAAAATTTAATAGGTCCTCGTAAACTTTACATTGCGCCATAACTTTTAACTATTCCCGTAACGCGGATAATTAATTCCAGAATTTTCTACTTTTAACACAAACAGAATATAATGGAATGGAAAAAGAGAAATGTATGACAACCTCTATTAAACACTTTCCACATGGTTCCAGAACTCGTGGTTGTTAAAACTTAACATAACAAAATGGTAGTTTGTATTAAAACGAATTTAAACGTTGAAGGTTTACAACCGACTGATCTCTTATGTATCAAAAATACAGCTTCATAGACACAAAGCACAGGATATACGGATTATATAAATACCTAATAAAAATAATATATTTGTCATATATAAAAATATATATTACGTACTAGTTTCATAGAAGAAATATATGTGATGAAGAAAATTATTTTATATATATAAATATATTAATATAACATCGCTAAATTTAATAAAAACGCTGATCTCCTATAGTTTAAACGCGACATATTTCCTAAAATATCAGATGTATGAAATTAGCTTCCATCGAGATTTCGAGGCTAACACGCCCAGAGCTATTTTTGTTGAATAAACAATCCTATAAAGATTACAAGATATACACATAATATAATATACTATACTGTATATATGTTTCTCTTACTTTCTTTACCAACCTTGTATTCTTTCTCACTCTTTCCCTCTCTTTACCAACCTTCCATAAAGGATACATATCTAGTGTATATCTCTCTCTCTCACTCTAACAACCGTCCTTACTGTACATCTCTCTCACTCTAATAACCTTACTTACTGTACATCTCTCTCTGTCTCACTCTACCAACCTTCCTTCATATATCTCTGTCTCTGTCTCTCTCTACCCACCTTCTTTCTTCTCCTCCTGAGCGGGTTTCTTCTCCGGTCCACTCTCTTCTATTCCCATTTGTTTCATGTTGTCAGTCCTTTGCGCCGCTGCCCCCATAAATGCCCTCGGGTCGGACAGAGCCGCCATGAAATCTGATAATAATAATAAACGTTTATTGGTTAAAAGATTACACCACTACAATACAAATAACATAACAAAAACAGTGTAACACTTATTCTATGTATACAAAAAAGGAAAATAAAATAACATAACTACAACAGGACAAATATTAAGTTAAAAATCAATAACAATAATAATAAGTATGCAGCATATTCAATATAACTATTTGAAACTCATTTTCTATGATGAATCATTTGTACATTAAAGCTTTTCATATACTACGTTTTTCTTATAATACATAATCTCTAGGATTCTGTTACTTTGCAGCGACTTAGCAAAATATGATTTAAAAAGTACTGAAAATTAACATATATCAGTAAGAATAAATGTAAACAGGTAATGAATTCAACATATACATATAATATATGTATATATCGTTTGGAATAATGCAAAACCGCGTAACTAAGATTGGATTGGATTGGACTAAGATGAACTACATTGGAAGCTGATCAAAAGAAATTTTAAGCTGAAATATTTACTACATTAACGACTTTTAAGGTGATTTTTTCACAATAATTTATATATTTAGATATTTTTTCCAACCTACCCTCAAACCCGTCCGGCACGTAAATCTTAAGTTCTATGTTACAGAATAACATGGGTAGTGACATGGGGAAGTTGGCTTCTGTTCTCAGCGAGATGTGTCTATACCCTGCTTGAAGTCCGTCTAGAGGTAAAATCCTTTGACCTAATAACTTTCCGTTCTCATCGTATACACCGAAACGAAGTACTGCTAGATCTGGTAGAACTACCTGGAATAATAATACATATATAGATATATTATATATCTTTATATATATAATTCTTTTGTGAGTGTATATCACTGAACTTCTCTCAAACGACCGGACAGATTTTGATGAAATTTTTTGTGTGTGTTCAAGGGGATCTTGAAATGGGTTTAGATTCACGATTTTGTCCGCTGGACAATGTTTTTTTTATTTAATTTTTAATTTAATTTTTAATTTATTAGTAGTTGTTGATACAAACTTTTTTTTTTGACATTAGATTGGCAACTAACTAATATGTCAATCATTCTGTCGCACTCTAAAACACGGAGTTTTATAGCTTTAATAGGTAAACTCCAAAAATATAAATAAAAAAACGTAACAGATATTTCTTGATAATAGGGCGATACGAAGTTCGCCGGGTCTTCTAGTAAAAATATAAAAAACTCGGTAACATTACATTTCTTTAGCAAACTAACAGTAAAAAACTCTAATAATGGGATGTTTGGAGAAATTTCATTAATATCTAAATTCATGAATGTCTAGATAAGCCATATTTGTTAATTTTTCAACCAGATTTTTACAAATCGTGACAGAAACGACACCTCTCATTATTCAATGGATTCACCATGCGTGTGCCGGGTCCATCGTTGTAGTGAGAGGAGCTTCAATAGTGCCTGTGACTTGCGACCCAGGTGTATGTTTAAGGGACCCTATCTAACGCGTTAAAAGGTCACCTCCACTGTCAAAGCTCTTCTCTCTACTTCAAGTATATAAATGACATCTAAAGACAAATAAATACCTTTCTGAAGAGGAAGGGTTCCTCATTATAAACAGGGTTCAGTCCGTTAGCGGGGACCATTCGTGTACGGAACTCTTTCCTTATAGTGTCTGTAGGGAGTCCGTACATATCAACCTCCACGTATGTACCGACCTTCTTATCTGATAAGAACTGACCGGCTATCACCTGAGGAAAATTACAAAAATTAGTAATAAATTCAATATGAAAAAATCTGAAAAAATATGAAAAAATGGTATTTGACCACAGAGGTCGTAGTGACGTAGGTTTAAAGCCCGCCTCTCATGCACGAAAGCGTGGGTTCGTAACCTGGCAACAACCAATATGATTTTCCGAGTCATATGTACTTTCTAAGAGTATTTAGACACCACTGACAGATGAAGGAAAATGTCATGAGGAAACATGGACTTATAATTTCAAATTATATGTTTGAAATCGCCAACCCGTCTTGAGTAAGCGTGGTTAATGCTCAAATATTTTCCATGTGAGAAGAGGCCTTACAGCAGTGGGCTCTGATAGACTGATGATAATGACCACTCAAAGTCCATAATATAAATAAATATATGGACTATTGTTGATATTTTAATCGACTTTAAAGTTATTGTAGTATATATCTGTTTCAAAGTCCTACCTGTACAGCACATTGTGCAGCAATCACGCCATCTACCGGCGCGTCGGCGAAAGGATCAAAGCTTCTATCAGCGCGTCTCATAAAGTCAGGTTTCAGCAGATACCCACAATTTCCATTATATTCAAACTTGCCCTGGTTCAATTGCATTGGAAGATCAGAAGTCTGGAAGTTCAATGACACCATCTGGCAGCCAGCGTTCCAGAACACCTGGAAATTGAAAGTAATATGTATGATAGATAGCGTGATTTACAAAGAAAAGGACTAGGATTGTAAAATTCGTTATTTAAAGCTTTTATCTATATACTCGTATAAAAGAGATTTCCATCTATATATTGACTCATCACGATATCTCTCGAACCATAAGGCGTAGCGACTTGAAATTTGGTAGGATTATTCCTTTCGCCGAGTAGAGGTCAGCTAAGAACGGATTTTACGAAATTCCACCCACAAGGAGGGTTGCGGGGGGTAACAATGGAAAATACGCTTTCACGCTTAAACCACTGAACTGATTTTAATGAAATTTGGTAAAAAGATAGAGTTAACCTTGAGAAAGAACATAGGATAGTTTTTATTCCAGACTGTTGAAAGGTTCTCTTGGAACCGGACTCTACACGTGCGAAGCTGCGGGCGGAAAGCTAGTTATTAGATAAATATATAAATTATGCATTATATATTAGTTATATATTAAAAATTCAATTCTGATCAATCGATTTCAATCGAAAATGGTAGTTATTTTTGTGAGTAGTGTGTAAGTCTTACCTGAGGCATATAATTAGAGGAGTCAGCCCTAGTTCCCTTAGGATATATCCTGGACATCTGCCGCTTGTTGTAGTTCACGAAGTCTATGGCCTGGGACTTGAGGTAGTTCATGCCTGTAGTCTCCGCGAATGAGGACATGTTGTGATGGATGTTGCGTTCTGGTGGAGATTCAAGGTTTTAGAGGATTTTTTGTATTCTTCTAATAAAATCTTTACTTATGACGTAGTTAATAAACGATTGACGTGTAAAGAAACATTGTGGCGAAAAATTGTATACAATAATTTCACTGTAATAGTTATACTCTAATTTATATATACATATGCAGGAATTGTACCAACTACTATCCTCTGGATTGTTTGAATTATAGTATATGTTTTTTTATTACGTGATTGAAAACAAACAAACGAGATCATTTATCTCTAATTAAAACCGCACTCAATTCGGTTTAGCCGTTTCTAAGTTTAAGCATATTCTGTTATACATATTAGCTTACTATTCAGGACATTCGTGATGGTTGGAAGTTCCTTGGTACTTGATTAAGGAAAAGTAAAAAAATCTCTTGTTATGGAAAATCTCATGGGATAAAATCCCTATTTAAATATTGCATTTATTAACATTCGTAATCAGAAAAATAGTTGCTTGTACATAAGCTATCGTAATAATATTGTTAATGAGAAAATTGTGAGGCTGCTTGGATATTCGTTGGTTTTTTATGGAAAAGCTAAAAAACTAATTTTCACGAAATTTTTCAGTTATGTGGATTACATAAGCGATAAAATTATAGAATATAATTTATTCAAAAATTACTATCTCAATGACCATTCTACTACAGATGTATTCGGTATAAAGTCACGTCACAGAACATCAATTTAATTTAAATATATAAGTATTAACTCTCACTGCATCAAACTCCGGACAAAGTCGCGGTTTAGACTAGTATTAAGATATAAATAACATACTCTCGGCCTCCTCGAAGCTGATGAACTTGATGGGTTGCGCGTAGTTCACCATCGAGGAAAGCCAGGGGTGTACATTAGTAGTGGAGCCCGTGTACTGAACCGGCGGAGGAGCGTCGTCACCGGCAGCAGCCGCCTCCGCTACTATCTCTTCAGGCTAAAAATACATTTTATATTACTATTACACCTTCTTCTTCTTCTACCTGGCAATTTCCCAGCTATAGCTATAGCCTGCCTTACATTTTGTGAATAGTTTTGGCTATTCGATTTACGACCGGCCCGCCTGCCTGACATCAACCCTCTTTTGGGAATCAACATTAATCAATGATGTCTAAATAGTCTTGAAAGTACATATGACTCGGAAAAATCACATTGGTACTTGCCCAGGCCAGGATCGAACCCGCGCCCTCGGCAACGAGAGGCGGGCCCTTTAACCACTAGGCCACCACTGACTATGTTACTATTAGACCAATACTAAATATATAATTATATACTAAAAACTAATTCCGAGAAACACTCTTTACATCTTATATATTTAAATGAGCAATTCTTGTACATATACACATATTTATTGGAATCTCGGAATCCGCTCGAACGATTTTCATGAAGTAGTATGTAGGGGATTTCGGGAGCGATAAATCGATATAGCTAGGAATCATTTTTAGAAAATGTTGTTTTATTAAAGCTCGGTGACCAGATATTATATTATTATTTAAAGATTAATAATGCCATAATAATATATTGAAAACATATTCAGATGTGTTTAGAATTCCGAATATTCGGGCAAGTATGGCCGAATAGCTAAATAGAAGAAAAAGCTATTATTTTTTAATGTATGTGAGGATTATATGTATTATACATATTTAAAGTAAAATTTATAAAAAAATCAGATCCATTAGTTGATGTTATCCGACTTCAAATTGTGTTATAAGATTTCGTCAAACAAATAGATATCACAAATTAGAAAAAAATACAAAAGTATTTTTTATATACAAATCCTCTCAATTACGGCTTTAAATTTACAATTGAAGGAATTATTGCAAACTAAAATATTAATCAATTATTTGGTATTCGGCCCGAATATAAAAGTATCCGAATAGACCGAATACTGAATAAAACCGAATATTAATTGCAAGTTAAATTCATTGCAACTAGTAAAATACACATGATCATAATTTAATGTTCTTTAAAATATTTGTATATTTTTACAAAGAAGCAGGGTTCAGATCGAAAATGCTAGTTTATTTTCATTTAAATGTACTATATTTTCTCTTCATATATATAAAGTATGAAGTATATTTCTAACATGAAAAATCTTTTCATATAATCCTCACCTTTTTCTCCGGCATTGGCGCGGAGGCGTCTTCTTTTACCTCATCTTCTATAACAAACTGTCCCTGTCTGAATAGTTCTAACTCTTGTTTTTCAACTTCGGCTTTTAGTCTTTTGTTCTTTATCATGATCTTGCGTTTCAACATCGACGGCGGAGGTAGAGGTTGGCCGGGTTCTAGCTGGAATTAAATTACGTAGTAATAATACATAAGGTTCTTTTACGTAGAAAAGCGTATCTATACTAAAATACACTGATAAAACATTTAAATCTCACCTTAAATTTAAATTTTCCAGTCTGCGATCTATTCAGCTCGCCTTTCTATGCCAAATCATAATATTATATACAATAACTACGCTTAGCGAACATTTAATATAGCAAACCTACCGGGTATTCAGGTAGTGGTTCTTTGAGCAGCAAGTCTCCAAGAATCTCGTCGCAGTATTTCGCCAGTTTGTACTGCTGGGCCTTGCAGCAGTGGTTTTCGAAGGAAAGTATGATAGGATAGTCTGACGTCACGAAGGCTGTGTCGCGGAGCGCGTAAATGACGTCTTTGAACAAAATATCCGTACACATGGCCATGCCGTGAGTTATTATCGGTTCCTCGTCTTCCCCTTTACCATCCCAACAATCTAATTCCACGCATCTAAACGACAGAATAATTGTAGTTAGGCTAGTTAGTACCTTTTATTAATCGTTGAAACTGTGAGTACAAAAATTATCTTACTAATATTATAAAGCGAAAGTTTGTGAGTTTGTGTATGTTTGTTACTTCTTCGCGCTCAAACGGCTGAAGCGATTTTGATAAAATTTTGTATACAGGAAGCTGACGTCCAGGAATATGATATAGGCTACTTTACATCCCGGAAATCAGTAACACCGCGGGGCGCAGCTACTTAGAATATATACTAAGTTTGTGGGATGGTCTTTCAAAATTACCTGCATCCAGCTAAAAGGACTTGTCTATACATTTCAACGGAGCTCTTCCCTCCGAATTGTCTGCCAGATAAGTAAGTGTTGTGTGAGGAGTTGATATAGTAATGTGATAAAGGCTGGTCCATTTCCATATAGAAGTCTAAACGGTCCAGAAATACTGGAGCGTTCTCATCAGACATGAGGTAGCGGATAAGACCATCTTTTGTAAGACATTCTAGAAGAATATGATGTCAATAAATAGTTTTCCTTCTACTGGACTTCAAACAAAAAAATTCTAGTTAGGTATATGTGCGGTTATATGAAAAAATTTATATTTTATTCGTCTAGTAAGATATCCATCAATGAAAATATATAAGGCAAGGTAAAGTTATTTCTGTACGACTTGTTTATTTTAGTTCCGAATACATGAATAAATAGTTTTCATTATATGAATAAAAACCGCCATTTATCCATTGAACTATAATTTTCAGAGGAAAATTTAATTAAGATTTTATGTTTTTCCTTTTGCTTGCATCATATCGATCAAAAGAGATCCAATATAGTCCATAACAAGTTATCAAAATTTTAAAAAGAGTACAATATTTCAATAGTATATATGGGGCATGTTTAAAGCAAAATTTATTGTAAGAATATAATAAGCTACCTAGTGATACATTTATTATGATTTTCGAAGTTTTAATTTAAAATATGTTTATAGTCATAATTTTTTCCAGAAAGTGAAATGTAATTTATTTTAAAGAAATAAAGTATCTTTAACCATATACTATAAATTCTATATTTACTATCATTCTTGGCTTCTTCATTCTGTTCATAATCGGTGATGATTTCAAGAGCTCTTTTATCATCATACAGCGGGTACAGAATTTCGTTGAGACGAGGATCGCGTTGTTTCTCGTTCAAGAAATTCACAAACTGCTCCAAATTGATACGTTCCGATTTACCTTGGGTACTGAAATAATTTAACGTTCGACATGAAATATTTATAACCGATTATTTCGATACTGATTTCACGTTCTTACATAGATCTAAACAGTTCTTCTATATCATTCCTTGGACAGATTTTATGGTATAGAGCGTAGAATTTATCGAATGTAAAAGCTTCCTTTTCCATTGCCTCGTTTTTGCCTGAGGGCAAACCCAATTCGGATAGGCATTGGTAGACCAACTTTTCAGTTTTACCAGACGCGAATGTACGGGCTACCACCTTAACGGGAACTTTGCCTTTCGGATCAGTTAGAAACGACAAACGCATCCAACTGTAATAATAAAATTACACTTAGATTGAAATTAAAATTATAATTTTTATAAAGCATTGTAAGCAGCAAGAGGTTGTAAAGCGAAGCAAGATGATGTGAATATATCAATATAATTATAATAAAAAGTTTCAGATAAGTACATGTGAAAACATGAAAACATGAGCACACATATTTTTGTTTATGAATATCGTTAGTTTAATCAAAATATAATGTTACTTTAATTCCATGATTTATGTATCTATAAAAACAAGCGCAATTCTTAAATTGATAATGTGGATATAGTTGTAAGATCAAATACTACTGTGGATGAATTGTGATATCAATTTAAGTGCAAAACTATTTCTTTTTAGAGACATTGAATACCTGGAAGTGGGATATTCTTAAAATTTAAAACTGAACAATATAAAAAGGCAAGGTATGGAGAAATCCTTACTAAGGGTCTACGATATACGAGTACACGAACACTAATAGTTTAACGTTTATTATTATTCTTGATAGTTAGATATACATCCAGCTCATGATTTATTAATGAAATCGATCGAACTCAAGATTCGCTTCATAATGAACTCCCGTATTAAGAAAACAGAAAACACATTAAAATTACCGGCATTTTTATTATTCGTACTTTTTCAGTTATAAAAACTAGATATATAAAACTTTTGTACTGTGAAAACAAACTTTAATGGGATCATTTAAAATTATAATTTTCTGAATATAATTTCTGAATATAATTCTGAATATAATTTTCGGAATAAGTTAAATTGTAGTCACGTGTCGCGACTATATTTGAGATTTATTTATCATAATGTTAACGATTCATTTTGTTTTGACTTTTTATATCGTCGGGGATAGTAGAAAACCGTGTAGCTACCATTGGATAATTCTGCGTATCTGCAATGGAAGCAAAATTATCAGAGGAAAGTTTAAGCTGAAATATTTTCTAAATTAAGGTATTTGTGTCACAATGAGTAAAAAATTCACTAAATAATTACTCACTGTGAAAAAATTACCTTAAAAGTCATTTAATTTACACAATATTTCAGCTTAAACAATCTTCTGACAATTTTCTTCCAATGTACATACGCGGAATTATCCAATGCTAGTTACGCGGTTTTGTTCTATCGCCGACGATATATTATGGAATGAAAACTTGCAATATTTACTATATAATATACGTTATATATAGCTCTCTATAGGAATGATTCTCTAGCTATTATATTAAAAACCAACTGTTTCATGAGACTGGTTCTAGGGCAGATGTTGTTTATCTTGTTGTTATGGGTGATGGCCCTCAAACCCTCCTTCCAGACCTTGGATGAAAGCATAACATGCAAAACATGCGATATATACAAAAACTAATAAAATAAATTTTCCTTCACACTGAAGGATATCGATGTAAATACGAAAAATTAAATATTGAACAGTAAACAGATTGAAAAAAACACATGCTGTGTAATTTTTTCGAGGTTGAATTACCTCATGTATAATAAACAGATAAAATTTTCCATCCACTTAAAATAAACTGAGAAATTTTAATATATTAATTTTTATAGCATACATTCGTCTTTTTTTAACGTCTAAAAACGTTCTTCATTCAGTAATGCCGAGAAGGATCGTATGGAATAAACATAATATTTATTATATTCGGAAAATAAAGTAATTTGTGACATAAATAAAACATTATGTAAAAAACAGCTGTTTGTAAGCGTTTTTTGAGGCATGCATAATGTCGTGTTAAACGCCACGTGCAGTCGAAGCCTTATATCTTTGACTTACTGTTTCTTGAGACACGTCATCGGACAAACGTTGTTTGCTTTAACATTGTGTGTTATCTTTCTTAATCCTTGCAACCAAACCTTATGTAGACAAAGCAATGGGTCTCATTAATTATTGGTAATAGTATGGTTTCCTAATATACATAATTAGTTTAAGATATCAAAAATTATCCCTGAGCAATGTTGAATATAATACTCTTAGGACTATTGCAAAGTTCACCACATAAAAATCTGGTTTGTGGATTATTTGCACAGGAGACACTTGATAACCCCAACCTCCTCTTATCCTTTAATCATCATCATGTCAGCTACCATTCCTCCTAAATATTCATAAACTTCTGGAAGTATACCTTCAGGTTTCCATGATGTAGATGAATATCAGATGAAGAACAAGTTTTTCCAGTTGATAATAAGCTTATATTATTTCTTTTGTACTGTTTTAGTCTTATATTTAGACTTAACTTCGAATAAAAATATATCCTTAAACTATACTGTCAAATAAAGAAATATAATTAAGATCGATAATTTAAATATTTATGAACACTAAAAAAATTACTTCAAATGGTCCAAAAACTGAATAAACTTTACTAATTAAATAAAAAACATATATTCCTTAATATTTTTGTTAAATAATTGATGAACCCAAAATAGAGTATTATGATACAACAATATTAGATTCACATTCAAATCCGTCGTGTCCAAACACATCTAAATATTAAAACACATACGAATGTAGCTAACATTTAAAAGTATGATATCGTTATCATATCATTATCATAAACGTATTTTATTATCTAACTCCTATAAATAATACATACCGTTGCAGTGTTCGCGTCTGGGCACACAATGTGTTGGTAGTTTATGTTTATGTAGTCGGTCCCACTACATATTGTGAGTGACTTTTCTTCTAAGTTGTTTCCGTGCTTCTTTTCTAAATTATTGTTTAATTTCACATCCTGGAACCAAGTTAAAACTCAGTACCTTACCGCAAGTGTTCAGTTTTACGTTTAACAGATAATTTATTGTTTTTGATTGATAAGTATCTAAGACATGATAGTAATACGTAGTATTTAAATAAAAGTAGTTAATTTGAGTTGAATTAATGAAAAATTTATTGACGTGAACGAGACTCAAACCTACTGCCGCAATACATCGCTTGTAAGCTAGTATAGATGAATTTTTCATTATATATTTTATGACAAGAATGAATACAAAAACATCTGGTCAAATTTCGTTTCTACGAATAATTATATTTGTATGACATATTTTGTAACAATTTATTTAGATATAATGTTTATAATCTACATATATACTGGGAAACATAATATTAATAAGTGTTTCAAATAAAATGAATAATTTTAATAAAATGTGACTTACCTTCGGCACACCCCCGGATCTGACGTCACTAACTTGACACAACTCAATGACGTCGCCATCCTGTGACAAAAACAATATTGTTAGGTTTAATATATAGTATGTTATATCTTAGAGAGTCTTCTTCTACCTGGCAATTTCCCAGCTTTAGCCAGGGTCTGCCTTGGAGAGAGGTAAAGTATAGGTAGTGTTATATATACTAAATATATAAAAATAATGTTTCATCAGTTCATTCATACTGAAAGCTTAGATATTATTATGAAGTGTTTCAATCGATCTAAATTAAATAAGTAATACGTAAGGCGAATTATATGTATATAAATAATATAATAGTGGTCAGCTGTTGTGTTAACATGACATAAAAACAGATTTTTAATGTTTTTGATGATTTTGTCTTGCTTCATTCTTAATATTAGCTTCAAAAAACAATGATTTTATATGCCCTATATGTTCAGTTATGTATGTGTTTTCTTGCATATAGCTACTAAACCTTTATTAATATAAGAAATAAGAAAAAAATACAAGCGTAGTCGCTTGAATAAGCCGGTTAAATTCATTCGTAATTATTTTCTTTTCTATACTCGTTTATTTAACCAGTAACACAAAAAGTGTATTTCTGTTTTCTTATGATTTCTTTTGCACAAACACTGATAGTTTTGACGGCGCTAACACAAATACTAAGCAATTTTATATGGGATAGAGTGAATCATCCAAAAGCTGGCACTCCTCCAATTATTGGCAATTTAGTTTTTATATAAAATATATCAATGGTCAATAAGTACGTGGTGGTCTAGTGGTTAAAAGGCCCGCCTCTCATGCATGAGGGCTCGGGTTCGATCCTGGCAAGTAAAAATGTGATTCTTTTGATTCATATGTACTTTCTAAGAGTATTAAGACATCACTGATTAATGCATTCCCAAAGAGGGTTGATATCAGGCCGGCGGCCGGTCATAAGAACAATTAGCCAAAACTATTCGCAACATGTAAGGCAGACCCTGGCTAAAGCTGGGAAATTGCCAGGTAGAAGATAAAAAATATCAATGGTACTATTGACTTATGTACTATCAAGTTTAAATATAAAAAAAGGAAATTAGTTGACTATTGGAAAATCGGGTTAAAAGTGATTTAGAAACACCACTTATACATATATACTAGTAATTTGTAGTAGTTATTATGGTTTTTTCCTAAAGTAAAAGCTTTGTACATAATATTTATTGCACCTGTTCAGCTTTGTAATACTCGAGAAATATTTTTATATACTTAACATAATAAAACATTTCATTTACAGATAAGTAAATCATTTTATTAATTTATAACAAAACATTACATTTAAAGATCATTTAAATTTTCAATATTTTTATCTCGTTATATTTATTTTAAGTACCAATATACGAAATAATAAATTAATCACAATTATTTTATTAGATTCAGTGCTAATATTACGATTTTTACAAATATTACTACTAAGTGATTTTGTGATATATTCGTAAAGGTTTTAAATGAACCTACGGGGAACCTTTAGCATGGTGTATCTTTACTGGCAATTTCCAGTATGGTAATAACTGACATTTTTAATGAATGAAATACAATTCAAATCCAAATACAATTTTCTTCTTAACGTCTTTATTCCATTCGACAAATTACTTCGTGTTTCCTCCACACAGTACCCAAGTTTATAATTTCTCCAACAATTAATAAAAACTTGGACGTTGGCTAAATATTTCACAATTCCAGTGCGAATAAAGCTATAGCAAAAATAAATAACAATCTAGTAATATTGTCATTTACTTAGCTTATTAGAATTTTGTTCATAATAAAGTGTTGAATATTACAAAACAATCTACTTACGTATCCATATAAAAACGAACCTACGTATAAAAGGAAATAGATGACAAATTATTTCTATCTAAAGCACCACTATACACTTGATCAGACTAAAGAAAATATTGTAGGTAGGTATGTATTGAAGTTAAATATGTCAAAAATTAATGAATAACAAAACGTGATTTTGTATGTAGGATGATTTAACAAAAAATATCTAATATTAACATATTTAAGTAAATGTGTGTAGGTATCGTATTTTAATTATACCTTAAGTTATAGATTGGAATTTTTTATATTTTTATGATGCGGAGATTCTTTCTTATGAACTTCCTACGTTTTCTGACAATATGACGGCTAATGCCAATATCGACAATTTCCATGACGAAAACAGTTATTTTTGTAATGTTTTACATTTAAGTATAAAAAACTTAATTAATACTTAAACATAATGATTTTAGAAACAATAATCAAAGTAATTCCTTTGACTGTCACATGTTTGGTTAGTTAGCTTTGAGAAAGATTTTATGGAAATATTATTTCAACCTCACGTAAAGCTTACTCTTAAAAGGTCAACAATTCGTTGGTTTACTCTGTATTGTGTACAAAATACGTTTAAACCGTCGGTAATCACGCAAGTGGAGGAAACTCTTACTAAATATACTAGGATCAGAAATTAAATCATGAACAATACTGATATTTTGGAAGTTTTAATTGTCTGGACAATAAAAAATAACACGTCATTTAAATTGAAAATTAGAAGCTATTTTCTTAAGTAATTAACTATGGCTCGAATTCAATCGTTTTTGATGTACATTTGAATCAGTCTGTCTTTTACTATAAGTAATTACTAACATAGCAATATTTTGTTTTCTCCAGAGTGTAATATTGTTCTTCAATCTACAGTATCTCTCAGTTGTTTTTAATAGTATTAATAAATTGAAATTTAGATTAAAGATAATCTTTTTCGTTGAAGTTAGTTCATTTACAATAAATCGTGGTACTTATCAGTATATATTAATATGTATTGCCACTCAAAATTATATAACAGTGTTTTTTTAAATTGCTTTTACTCTTTCCCTTCATAAAATCCTACATCCAGTCTGTTTCATAGTAAAATCGGAACAATAAGGCAGATGGATAAACATTTTAAAAATTCAACATACATATTTGGTTGTAGGAGTACTTTCTATATTCATATTTTTTAACTTATAAAAAAATGTTTGAATTTAATAAAATTTATATATAACGTAATTATTTGTATGAATTTCGTCTTATTTGAATTTACTGCTATAGTAAATATTTTTGAAGGTCTTTTTATATTTGTAAAATTTATTAAAAAACTGAAACAAGTGTACATTGACAAACCGCGTGCATTTTCCTGACTGTGAAGACAAAAAGGAAAATTATATTTTTAACGTGTCATGTATTGATAGTACATATATCTGTGTTCTTCTACCTGGCAAATTCCCAGATTTAGCCAGGGTCTGCCTTACATGTTGTGAACAGTTTTGGCTAATTGTTTTGCCGCTTGCTTGACATCAACCCTCTTTGGGAATACATTAATCAGTGATGTCTAAATACTCTTACAAGTACATATGACTCGGAAAAATCACATTAGTACTTGCCAGGGCCAGGATCGAACCCGCGCTCTCGGGCATGAGAGGCGGGCCTTTTAACCACTAGGCTGCCACTGACTATTGCTAGTATATATGTAGATATAACTGAAATATTACTTTCGTTTGTGTGAATCCTCATATATTTTGTCGTGTATGATACCCGTTCACGTGTTATATGATTTCTCCTCCGTTTACTCATCACTGATTTAATCTTGTGCTCATAAGACACTTGACTTGACATAAACCCAGTCACACCGAATAAACCTATACACAGCCGTCATGCACAACGATTTATACTATTTAGTTTCGTTTTTATAACTATATATATGTAAAAGAAAATTGTGTTAGTTAGACTATTTATAACTCAAGAACGGCTGTAGGGATATGGTTAAAATTGGTGGAAAGATAGGTTAGAATTAGGAGACGGACATAGGATATTTAATTGTGTTCGATTGAAAAGGGAAAACTTAATAAACTCCGCTATCTGGTTATTTATCCTACTAATATTATAATTGCGAAAGTTAGTGAGTGTGTGTGTATATTTGTTACTTCTTCACGCTCAAATGGCTGAACCGATTTTGATATAATTTTGTATACAGGAAGCTGACATCCAGGAATAACATAGGCTGTTTTACATCCCGGAAATCTCGGAAATCCGTGGGTAACACCGCGGGGCGCAGCTAGTATCATATAATGCGGAATAGTATTCGTCCGGTCAGCTATACATATAATATAACTATTGCCAAAATTAACGCGGACGAAGTCGCGGGCAAGAACTAGTTTACCAACAAAACTTTAGCACCTTTTTTTTCTTATTTTTTTAAACAATGGTTTCATTCGCACTAGAATTGTGGAATATTTTGCCAATGTCAATTTTTTTTTTGGTGGAAGAATTACATATAATCTTGAGTACCGTATTGCTTGAAGAAAACACGAAGAAACCTTAAAGTGGATATGTTCGCCATAAATTTTATGTTCCATTATTTTAACAGCGAATTGTCACAATACAAATTTAAAATAGTTTTTTTATGACACAGTGTAAGAGTTTAAAACGAATGTAGCATAAAAAGAAAAATGGTTTATGTAGTTTTAAGAATATACATGATACTAGTTTTCGTCCGTAACTTTGTCACATTAAATTTCAAAATCAGGTACGAAAAGTTGTATAAAATACAACTATTTTATAGAAATTCCTTAAGAAGTACTGGAAAATCTTGGGTACATTATAGCTTATGTGTTATTCTGATGTCTAAACTACATTCTAAAGTTAAATCAAAATCCGTTTAGTGTATCCATACATCCTCAAAAACTTTAGCATTTATAGGTATTAGTAAGATTATAGAAGAAGATCGCATACATTAAAAATTGTTAAAATCAAAGCGAGTACGATCTAGGAAAAACTTCAGATATTTCAATAACTCGATATTCCTAACATACAAGTTTTATTATACAATTCAGTGCATCATTTTATAAAGTTTTCAAACTCTAACTAGAAATGTGACAGGTTTCTTAGTAAACTTGTCTATATGAAGATGATTTTGAAGAATCTAATTGTGAGTTCAAATAAAGTGGTGCTGCCTTCACGGCTCTACACCCTCGATTGCTTAAAAAATGGTTATTATA